GGTCGTTCAACGGGCAGCAGTAATGTGCCGGAGAGACAGACCATATAGGGGTAAGAGGAGCAAGAGATACAATAGTGGCATGCAAGAAAGGCTGGACTTCTTTGGACATTATATGAATGTGTCTGAAAATGAAGCAGTTAAAATGTAGATAGTGAGTTTTTCCTCCACCCCCACTGAGTCATTCTCTCTGAAGTGGACATAATTTTGTGAATTCGGGAATGCTGTGAAGACATAAAGTGAGTTGGATAGCTGTGTTGTTATCTCTGTTTCAGGAGACAATAAAAACATCTTTCTTTAGGAATGAGCTGGTTGAATGCATGAGATTTACTGATGTTTCAAGATCATTATTCCAATTGATCTTGAAACATCACTTGAAGTTCAACTTTTGTTTGTTTCTTCTTTTGTCGAAGCCTCTTGAAGTGGCATGTTTGTGAAGAGAAATATGATTCTGATGGTCACCAATTTGCTGTCTGAATTATATACATAAACAAGTGTCGATGCGAAATTTAAGCATGTACTCCAGAAAAGTTGTGGCCTATCAGAATGATGGTTTGCAAGGTGTATGCAAACGGAGGCTTTCTAACCTCAGAGCAGTTTAATTGCATCCATTCCTAAGAAAAGTCTGCAAATGTTGAATCTAGATTCTCTGGTGAATTGGCAGCAAGCTGCTCGACAGCAGATGACTAGCTTCAAACGAGGAGTGAGGGGGGTAGGGATGAAAAATCTTGACAAACAGTGTGAGAGGGGGTCCACATCATCTCTTGCCCCTGACAGGCTCCCCCATGCATGAATTCAAAGCTGGTAAAACCATGGCTGGATTCATTTTGATCTGACATCCATCATGTAGATCAGTGTTGTGGTTTCGCTGTAGTGTGTCCACAATAAGATGTTTTGGCAACCAGCCCATGACATCTGTTAGAACCAGTCGAGAGAATCTGGGACCAATTTGGCTTTTGTGTCACAAGTTATTGCTGGCTTTTGGCATCGGGCTCCATACATTCATTACAGGATAGTTGGACTAGTACTTTCAAATTGAAGAGCCTATCTTACACAATTATTTTTGTTTAAAACCTGCAATGTAATTATACTAACTGTTATATATTTTTTGTTGCAAACTTTAAGAAATGTAATTCTTTTATATTCCAGAGGATATTTTTTGATTGCTAAAAATGTAAGCAATAAACTACATTATAAATTTAGAGACATTTTGTCAAAATGACTGAAAGCAACTTCAACAGATAATCTTTTGAATTTTTAGGTTCTGACTGTTAAGAAAAATGGTTAATTTAAAAATGTCTTTTGAAAATCTCAAAATTAAGCAAAGTGTATAAATTTGCACAGTGTTGCTGACATGCAGTAACATACTAAAGAGTTTAAATGCTGACTCCAGATGTCTTTGCCCTTGTTTTAAAAATAAATAAAATCCTGTTTTACACTTCATCACCTTGCTTTCATTTTTAAAATAAATCATTAATGACTAGTTACAGGAGGATGACTAAAATAACAATATTCTGTGCTATACAGGTAGATATGGTTCTCGAAGATACGTCATATTTGTTTAATAGCTTCTCCTGTGATCTGTGGGCTGCCGGTTGGAGCCCCGTCTCTGTCCGTCTCTATTTTGTGTCCTTGGGCAAAACACTTCATCCACCTTGCCTGCTGGTCGTGGTCAGAAGGGCAGATGCTGCTGGTGTGTGGCAGCCTCACTTCAGGCTGCAATCCTGTTTCTTACCACCTTCAGCGTGTGGATGTGTGCGTGAACTGGAATAAATAATTTCACTGTAAAGTATTTTTGAGGTTCAAGAAAAGCGTTATATTAGTCTGATGTCATTTCACTACAAGTGGTATCTGCCTGTTGAATTTTTATAAAAACAGGAGATCAGAAATCAGCCACAAATCTCACATTGGTGCATCGCCAGATAAGTTGTAAAATTATTTCACTTTTCAACGAGTGACTTGAGTAATCAAGGGTTATTTTATGGTTCCTTGCCAAACTTGAACTAATCTAATCAAAAGTAAGTCTGTGGTCTGCTCATTGTGGCAGAGATATTTAACCAAGCATTAATGTCGTTAACATCAGTGTCCAAACCCGGCTTGAATATTGGTTTCCTTGCTGCATTACAGAGCTACAGCTGAACAGTTCCAGCTTGTATGGCTGCAGTACAGCAGCATGTGTGTGGAGGGCGTTGGGCAGATGGGACGTGTCTGATATCTCTCACTCAACATAATGAGACGAGAATGCGCTTCACCAGTTTTTGGGCCCGACTGAGGGCAAGAGACACGGTGCCCACTCATACGGGAGGGATCTTTCTCCTCTTCAAAGATAATGAGATGACAATATATTCAACTATGATTAGACAGAGACAGGGTTTCAGAGGCAGGGATGGAGGGAGAAACGTTCTCCAGCACTTGTCTGCTGCCTTTGATCAAACAGGAAAAGCAACTGTCATTCTTTGTATCACTGCTGGACACATAAAAGCTCAGCTAAATACTTCATCGCTCTCAGTGTCACCAGAAGGCCAAAGTTTGTTCATGCAAACCTGCTTTCTAGCTCAGGTGACTTTTTTTTCCCCGCGCGCCGCTCACCAGGGAAATGAGCTGAATAAAAGCTTGATATACTAAATATGTTGCTGAAGTCAGCCGCTTGACAAAAATTGTAGCAGTAAAATCAATTTGCCATAACCAGGGAGAGACGACACGTCGTTTTTGCCTGCCGTCGCTCCCCTTTCCAAAGCGTCAAACGTGCCATGTTAAAAGGCTTAGTTAAGCAGGCATGACAAGAGAATCTTACTCTCAGTTGACAGTTTGTTGTGACGCTTGTCTTTAGTTCCTGTGGTGAAAAGCTCTTGCATGCTTGTTTTGTATTTGAAACTCTCACTCTTTCTTAGAGTGTTCTGTTTTGACATATAAACCATACAAATCCTGCCAAAAACTTTTCAGGCATCTTAATTGAGCAGTGTGGTGGCTGCTCTGTTTTGAATTCTGAGGCTGTGTTTTGACAGCATAACATAAAAAACTAGAAATCAGAAAATAAAAATAAACGTAGCGTTTTCATTTATCTTGTGGAATATGTGGGGTAAAATCCAGATTATTTGCCTGAAATATGTTATTTTTTTGTCCTGTTGAGCATTATTATCACAGTGCTATTGTAATGCTCATAGAATAACGTTTTAGACTTTAACCATATATTTTGTCTTCAGAACCAATGTACGAATGTACAGTAGAATATTTACAACTCAAGGGTTGTATCTTCCTCCCATCACTTTCAATCTTTGTTGACTGTCACAAAAATGATAAAATACAAGCGAAAGCTTCTCCTCCAGTTGAAAAATAAATTCCCAAAGAGGCTAGCAGCAGAGCCAGAAAAATACAACAATCTGTCAAGCTTTGTCATACAATAATGAGACATTGTTCAAATGTTGTGATGCCAAAATCCCTTTAAAAACCTGACAAATCATCGCTCTGAGCAGAATCCATCTTGTTCAGGCTTCACGCTTCCCTTAAACTCAGCAACATGCTCATTTTGAAAGTAACAGAATAGAATGCCTTAACGTCCAATTTCCCAACATTTCATCATCGTGTCTTGATAATTATGCAGGGTTATTAGCTCAAGTATTTGTCCTTGGCATTCTTAATGCTGTTTGACATTTTTTATGAGCAGTAATGGCATTGGAGATTTTGATCTGCCTTAGGCGAAGGTAAATGCTTCTTCTGCAGTGCAACAGCACCCTCTCTTGAAAAATTAGGATATGATTACATCACAATGCAGGACCTTGAAGTTTGTCTGCAGTGAACCTTCAGACTAAAGCTATTAGTATTATTAAGTTGTATTAAATGAACATTGTTCTCTATTAAAATCAAAGTTTCTCCATTCTTTAATGTGTACAGAAAATGGGTGGGTGCATGGATGAATAACATCTGAATTTATTTAACACTGAACGAGAAACTGAAAGGACAAAACCATGCCAAAAGAAAGACTAAGCTTTCTCCACTTGAGAATTTTTACCTTATAAAAACAAGATGCTAAAAGTTTAAGTTTAGCAAGAAATATTTTTTTATTTTATTTTATACCATAAAAAGTGTCACATCAATTATCTGTAACTATGCTTGATGATTCTGAGAACATGAAATGATCTTCTTTGCTTTGTTTTGTTTTTGTTTTTTTGTTTTTTTAGAAAAGCGTGTGACACTAAATAACTAGGCAGATTTACTAAAAGAAATTTACATTATCAGTTGTCTTGCTTCATCTACAAAAAATAGCTAATAGTAGGGATGTAATTGAAGCATCTGAACTCTAAATAATTTCAAATTAACCTAAAAAGCCCCCAACAGATTATAAATGCAACATAGAATACTGCATTGCTTAGTGTCCTTTTAATCTTGATGATTCTTTATCAAAATAATGTATTGGATTCTATGCTGTGGACTTTTTACTGCAAAGCAAACTTTTAATTATGAATATTTAGAAGAAATCTTTACCTTACCATGGATTTGGACTCTTTTATTCCCTTCTGATTATTAATATTACTATCTGTTTTCACAGTATATGTAATGCAGCATAGATACAAATATATATCTAAGTGGATGAAGATCTGTGTCAAAAACAGAGGAGAAATGATTAAACATCCAGAGCAGTGCATTTGGGGACTCAGTCTTGGAACTAATGCATTTTGGTTCAAAGTAATGCTCCAAAGTTGCTCTGAATATTTTGAGGGATCATATAAAATGAGGATCTGTGACAGTATTATCAATAACAGTTCCCTCACCTGTAGATGACATTTGTCCGTTTATAATAACTTTGTGGAAAGCTTTAGAGTGGACAGCTCGTCACAAGAGAAATGACTTTAGCAATTCAAAACAACTCAAACTGACAAGCTTTATATGCTCAGTCTAGAATGCATAATTTTGTTAATTTAACGTCTAAGGTTTCTCAAGACAGTTGTCACTGTTTTCAGCTGAAATTAACAGAACAAAATACTTTTTAACAGAGAAAACAGAAACAGATTTTACAACAGTTTTATGTGAAGGACTATATGTTTTTTATATAAAGTATATCATGGATATAGGTAGTTTCATGGTGTTGGGTGTTTTGCTAAAACTTCTGGAAATGAGTTTGACTATCTTTCATCACTCTGAGGATTTCACTTTTATTCAAACATTAAAATGAATACATACAGTTAAGCCTGATTACTCTTTCCCCTGACAGATTTAAGTTTGAATTAATATTAGAATTTCACCATCATGTTGATTCTGACTGAATGTAAGTTCAGAGTCCCAGGCTGAACCTGATAAGGACTTGGTGGAGGATAAAGATTGGCATGATGACTAGTGAAAACATGCAAAGATCTGGTCAGTATTTATAAGAAGGTTCTGTCTATAATGCTGAAATTCTATATACACATTACACAATTTTGAACAGCCATTTTTTTAATTAGATTGAAAATATAGCACCTTCATAAATTTTATCATTTTATTTCAAGCTTTTTACATGTTTTTATTATAAATTTTGAGTGTGGTGTCACATTTCCTTCTTAATTGAAACTTGTTTCTGAATTTGAATAATTTTGGACTTAAACGTAACTGAAAAGCACCAATGTAGAAAATTGATTGGATCTTTCCGGAATAGAAATCTGTAAACAAAAAGAATTAGAGGCATATAAGGGAATATTTTTCTTTGCATCTGTGAAATGGTGGATGCAGAAATGCTTTGGCTCTGACATGTGTCAGGTATTGTTGCCGAGACTCCAAGCAGATTTATGGCTAAAACCTTCATGTGTGGACAGATAATCCACTATTTTGTCAACAAACGCAATCAAAATCTCACCAAATAAGCTGAGGGAAGTTGGAAAGGAATGGCTATTTAGAAGGTAAATAGTAAAAAAGAAAAAAAAAGGCCAAGGAGAAGCAGTTTTCTGCCAATGAATGAGTAAAGCAAAGCAATATCTCCAAACATGCTTGTTTGATTTAAGAAGACTGTATTGCAGTGAGAACAAAACTGAGATTAATGCAGATGTCAAAGTTGGAGTCAAAGTCTGTTTAGTTATGGGATCAGATTTTTTTTTTTATCAGGACCAGGACAAAGAAGAAAAATGAAAATCTGCCTTTTATGAGGCCACACATTTAAATCATGCAAAGAAAACTGAAGTTATTTTATTGGCTTGCATGCTGTACAAAATTATAACAAAAGCAAAGAATAGTATTTGGCCCCCGAAAACCCATTATAATATAGTTAGAATGTTTTTTTGTTTTGTTTTGTTTTTTGTAGTGATGAACACGCTAACAATATACATTTTTACTAGCAAGACATCCAACTGCAAATGTAAAAAAAATGCTCTGAAGCTAAATGAACAATCAATAAAGACATCATTGGTTGGGGTATGATTCTACAAATACAAATGCAGCTTCAGAACATCAACAGAAATCTGTACAGAAATATGGAATATCAATATGATATATTTTCTTTGATTCACAGATTTGCAAACCTTTATTTAATGCACAAAAAGACATCTAAAAGAAGTGAATGACTTTGGTGTTTTGTTGCTACTGGTGCAAATAAGTGTGTTTTGTTCCTGTATCTTAAACTCTTCACTTGCAGTTTTAATCAGTGGTCTTCATTGCCAAAGAGTAACAATCACTTCAGACCACCGTTGTTAAAAAAGAAAAAACCCAAAAAAACACTGTTTTATATTTACAAGAATAAGAATTGTTGTAGAATCTATAAAGGGACATATAAACCCCAAAAAATATACTGTCTGAGATGGCACTGATAGGAAATGCTTTTGTGTAATAGTAAACTAACAGAATTAATTTATTTAGAGTGTAAATGTTACATAAAATTCTGAGGACATTCAAGTTAGATTTTAGAACGCAGTACAGCAAATCCTTGGCGCTGATTCACAATGTTTTGGCCAAGTTCTTAATCGTTTGAGAATGTGGGGAATGTGCAGTGCATTCCAGTCTTTCCAGTCCTACCCACTGGGCAGACAAATCAACTAATGACAGAAACAATGGTTTTTGGGCAAGGCTTTGCCTGCATTTCCCAGTGAAAGATCTGGATGTCCAAGTTAAAGAAGAAAATGTGATAATTCATCCCTCAAAGGATGTGTCCTCAATCTGCTGCTTTGTTTGTCCACTCCACTTTGCCGCTCTGTCATTTAGGCCCTCTGTGTTGCTGTTGAGACGAGATTCTCACGGTAGTTTCACCACCACCACGCAGGCGCCTGCCCTTCCAATGTTAAGAGGGACCTCCTACAGGGAGACAGAGAGGTTAACACGCAGCGTTTCATAAGCGCCTCTTTCTAAAAAAAATCATCCCGCTTCATTTGATGCACAGATGAAGGCTTGGTTGCCAAGACTGAAAAAATTGTCAAAAGGAAAAAAATCAGCTATAAAATATTCATGCGGCCCAGTATCTACATCAGATTTCTGTTGCTGAAGGATTTTAACGAAAGCCTTAAGCTTGCATGATTCTTGCAGAACACAGTATTCCAGCTGAGTCATTTAAATGTCTCAGTAGATGACATATAATTTTTGCGATGTTTTCTTTCATGCTTATTTAAGATATATATGAGTCAGAGAATCTAATACTTTCAAAATGTAACTGTTCATTCAAGATTTTCACACAAATATTTTTCAAAAATATCAACGCTGATGCACTTTGAAACTGATAAACTATATAGTGACTAATCAAAATCAAAAAAATGTGTGAAGTACTTCTTTTTCACATATTCACATTTAAATAAAGTAACTACATATATGTATGCAAGTATAGCTATTTGAAATAGAAGAATACAAAATAAATTCACCATAAATGCTATGACATGCTATGTACAATCTAAATAATATGTGTAGTATTTCCTTTTTGTATATTCAAATGTGTTGGTCAAGGGATACGTTTACAACTCTGCTGCACAGACGTTGCATGTAGCCATCGTGATAAATACAGGATTTTATACAGCTGATTTTTGATAAAAGGACATCTTTATTAAAGCTACACAGTTCCAGTATAAAGTTTGAATCTATTAATGGTCCCTCAGAACCACTTCAGAGTTTGAGGAGAAGTGAAATAGACTGACTTATGAAAATTTTATAAAGTTCACACTTAAAAGCAATAAATATACACATAAAAATCTTGAAGTAACCATAAATAACAAATCATTTTGGGAACAAATTAGGAGCAAATCAGCCTAATTAATGAAAATCACCAAAAACGTTCAACTAGAATCAATTTCAATTAAAAAAATCTCAATTTAAAGTTTTCACACGCTATTTTATCAAATTATAATACAGTTGTCAAAATGTATAGCATTAACTAAGATAATGTATAATAAAAGCTTATGATTACCTCAGTCCACTCATTGTTTTGTGCATCATAGGACTCTACAGTTTTGAGATATGACTGGCTGTCATATCCACCGACTGCGTAGAGCCTGTCACCCAACAAGCAAACTCCCACTGCATCCCGAGGAACGCTGAGCGAGGACACAGTGGTCCATGTGTCCGTCTTTGGATCATATCTGTAATTGGAAAACGCTGTTAAGCAACTGAGTGATCTGACTCATCTGCACTTAAGTTTTACATATCTGAAACATTTCTCCACATACATGACTGCCATATGCTTAAGAAGACTGTAAAATATAGTCAACGCAGACAAAAAGAATTAAAAAGGGTAGTAAACCCTCATCACCACCAGAGGGTGCCAGACTCCGTGAAGTTCAACCACATGTGCAACCTGATCTCCACATTGTTGAGTAACATGTCATTAAAGTACAACCATGTGTAAAGAAAATGCAGGAACAGGGTGGGGATCAGGAGTCACTTTCCACTCTGTTCATGAGATAGGAATAGTGGTAAAACAACAGCATTGTGTTTGTGGAGCATTCACTGACCTCTCAACACAGTCAGAGAGTCTGGAACAGTGGTTGGAAGCAGGGGCATCGTGTCCACCCACAGCATACAGGAAGTTGTTGTACGTGGCTACGCCCACACCTCCTCTCCTCTTGGACATCGGCGCACACATGCTCCACTTGTTGGTGTGTGGATCAAAACACTCCATCGACCTCAAGCACGAGCTGCCATCTCGCCCACCAACTGCAAACAGCCTGAGGAATAAAAGGGGAAAGATTATAATGCTGACATATGATTCTGCAAAATGCAGTAAAATTAACTTGTACAAGTTTTTAAAAAAAGCTAAAAAGAGGTTCAGAAATACAGGAAAGATTTTTTTAGAGCAAGGCTGTTTTCTTGAGAATGTTCTTCCCTGGAAAGACTACATCATTGTATTACAAGTTTGTTATTCACAGGCCTATCAATAGATCATAGATGTTAGTGAAGCTGTTTTCTTGTCTATTTTTGACCTAGCTGCTAAAAGAGCTTTGACACTGAATAGCGAATGAAGCTAAGCTGAGCCTGGTTTCCTGTTTCTTTAGCAGATGCACACACTGGAACTATGTTCAGAGCTGGTCTGCAAACACAGGACAGCACTTCCAGTGAGTTGGTGGCATCTCACACTTAAACCAGGAACAAAATTAGCAAGTATATTGCTGTTAAAGGTATAGTGCCCATCTGTTTTTATTGGACTAATGCCAGCTTGACTAACCTTTTTGTAATTTTGTCCTTGGTTGTTAAGATTCAGTTTTATCTTACTTTTGTAGAGTTTGCACATAAACAAACACATCAATACACATGGAAAGAGTAACATTGTAAGCTAAGTGCATGTGAAAAGCGCACACAGGTTTTGAGAACAAGATAAATTACTGGAAACCTTTATCACTTTTGGTCTACGTTTTGCACCATGCAACTGAAAAACATTTGTGAAAATAGGTTGGTTGAACATACTTTCCATTGAGTGCTGTGACTCCCATGGTGCTTCGTGGAGTCGACATACTGGCCACATAGTTCCACTGTCTGGCCTGCGGATCCCAACGCTCCACTGTATTGAGGTAGCTCCAGCCATCATGGCCTCCAACTGCATACATGGGACCCTCGAGGACCGCAATGCCTAATCGAAACCAGAGAGATTCATGTTTCAGTGAAAAGCACTGGTAATGTGTGAATCAGGAGAATGTATAAGTATACCATTGGAACATTAGTTTGAAGAACTTTATTTCTATATTTCAAAATTGATTTAATCTAAAGTTGTTAATATATTTTTGGATGCAAAGATGCAAAGGTCAAGCGGCCTTTCTGGATTTTGTGATTTCCCAAATCACAAAATCCAAATTTGAATTGGATTTTGCGAAGGAACTCTCACAAAAATCCAGTTAAGACCAAAATTATTAATGGTCCCCACAAATTCATCTTCAATTTGTATGTAACATTTCTTTAACCAGATATATCTCAGTCAGATCAAAAAATATCTTTTTCAAGGGAGAGTTGGCCAAGACTGGCGGCAACACAAACAAAATGTGTCTGTTGTGTGTTTTAATCATGTGTCTTCTGGCGGTGACCTAACCATAGTGACTGTGGAAAAAGCTCAAGATTATGTTGATGACTGGGAGGCTTTCCACACTGTAACACATGAATTGCATTAGAAAAATCCTAAACATATTAATGGAAACATGGAAAAAGCCAGTCAGTAGTTCAAAGATGGGCTGATTTAGTGTAATGGTTAGAAAAAATATTTTCCCATTGATTGGTGAAAATGGTAAAAATAATTTTAAACATATATCTTGTTTAATAAATGCAGGGAAAAAAACTTTTTTTTTAACTTAATCTAAAATAATGCTTTATCATGAGAAAGATTTCCTTTTAGAAATATACTTGATAGAATGAAAATGATTTTAAATCTAAATCTGCCACAGGTTTTTATTTGGGTTTAACTATAATAAGCTGAATTTATTTTTACTAATGATGCTACCCTGACCTTTCAAACTGTAATATTTTTTTCTCTATCACCTTGTAGTTTCACCAACATCTATATCTGTTTTGCTGGGAAGGTTTTTTTCCACCTTGTATGAATGAAGCTGATGTCCTCAAGAAATGGAAAGTCTGTTTTGAATAAAAAGCTTATTAGAAATTAATTGCTCTATAGCAGTCCTAATTTCTATAATACTGGACCTTATTAGATTTTAACCAAATAAGCCTTCAGTTAAAGTGTAATTCTTCTTTGTTTATTTAACTGAATAACTATTAACCCTGAGAAAATATAGAAATTTAATCTTCTTTCTTCTCTTTAAATGTAGAGATGAAGAATTTATCCTTGTGTGGGTCTTTGATAGATTGTGACATAATTTATGTGCGTACTTTAATAGTTTAATGTACGCTATTTGACTTTTGTGGTTTTATGCTACTTGCGATATAACAAAGAATGTTTCTATTCAAATGTGTAATCAACCATTCGCCTTTGGTTCAAAGGTCGACAAACATTTCAATAACAAAGCACACATAAAAAAATACGTTTCTAAGAGTTACTGACAAGAACTCCACAGAGACATAGTTCTCATGTTGAAGCAAGTTGAGACATATAGCAGATCAAATTTCTTAAAAACAGGAAAGACTATAAAACAGTATTGTTATTTCTCATTCCAGTCTAAGAGGAAAGTGGTTTCCACCAGCAACAATGTGGGGGATTTTTGAACACAATAGATTTTTTTATTGTACAACCCTTATTTCCTTTGGTGAGAGTTCTTTATTTCCAGGGAACATTAGGCTGCAGACTCATTCAGAGAGACTCAGTGGCTTTTAATAAACGTCCTTTTTCCTAACAACTGGTAGCTTTCTAATGGAAAAAAACACCAACTCTTTCTTGTCTTTCCCCACAGCGGGCACAGTGGGGAGTGGGCATGTAGGGGTACTCACAGCCACCAAGTTTAAATATATTCAAGCTGAACATATGCGCAAAATAAGCAAAAGCAGTGAGAAACATTTTGCTTCAGGAAAGATCAAAGACAGCACTGGTAATCTGTACAGTGTGCTCTCCTGGGCTTGCTGATACCTCCTACCACACTGGGCGAGTGAGCTGAATGCTTTGACAAGATCTCCCTGTTCTGTGAGCAGGACCTGTTTCAACTGCAAATCAAAACGCTTCTGATATGAGATGTGTTGGGCAGGGAATGATAAGGCAGAGCAGGGTCAGTACAGCTCGCAAAGCTTTGATAGGGGTAGGGGAAAGTATAAAAAGTCCAGGGGGAATAGTGAGATTTTTTTTTCTACAGCATGCTATTTTTGACCCTTCTGAACTTCATCCAGCAGTTATTAATGATGCAAAACTTTAACTGAGATGCTAAAACCATCAACAAAGACTAAGATAAGCTGATAGATGTAATTAGATTACTAACAATAATAGACCTGCCAAAAAGAACAACTTGTCTACTTGCAATTTCCTATTGTAATTGACCATATAGTCCTATATAAGATATTTTATCGAGACTCGCCTGTACTGTTTCCTTTTAATTCAAACAAGCGCAAACCTTTCCACTGCCAACACTTACCAAGTCCATGACGGTGGGTGGACATTGGAGGCATAGTTGACCAAACTTTACTGACAGGATTATAGCATTCCACCATGTTGGATGTCTTCAGCCCATCTCTCCCTCCGACAACATAAAGCTTGTTGTCAATCACAGCCACACCAAACTGTAGCCGCCGTCCATTCATGACTCCAACCTGGACCCAAGTATTTGTTCGCAAGTCGTACTTCTCAATGGTGGTGGAGCCTAGAAAAGCACCAAATACAGTTTTAGTAATTGATCAGTCATTCTGCACTGGCAAACAGTGTGCATGAATTGTTATAAACCTTTCGTAGCGTCCATTCCTCCCACAGCATAAAGTGCACCCACTGTCGACTTTCTGGGTTTTGTTCTTGGGCTCTGAAACATGGGCCGTCGTTCGGGCAACAGATGGTATTTCATGGCCTCCATCAGAAGCTTTTGACATTCCAGATCATCAGAGAACATCTTGTTGTTTTCTAGATCTGCAAGGAGCTGGATTGCATGGACAATATATGCATAATAATTATATCATTTTATCAAAGTAAAATCAGTTCACAAATTAATTCATGAAGAATTTTTCTTTTTATTTGAAATTGACATAGTTCTTAATAGGGTTTTAGAAAGGTCGGCAGATGTTTTGATTTTGTTGATGCTCTCTTGTAGATATTTTTTTAGGATGTAGCCAGCCTGTCTTCTAGACTAAGGTTAAACGTTCCTTTTCTAAAACATTTTTAATTCAGACTTCTTGAGGTAAGCTTTTCATGATCTGTGTCTTATCTTTGTACAGTGATGGAAATCTGGAGAATGTCTCATTATATTTTATCCCTGTTCTGTTGGGCAGAACATGCCAAAAATGATCAAATAAGTCAAAGAGCCACCTGCAGTGACTGTCATATCAGTGACAATTTTTGTTCTATTTCCAGCATTATTGTGCCCATCATGCACATTTTTTATTTCTATTTACTTTCAACTTGGACATTTATATGAGGTAACCAAGACAATTATCAAGCTACTTTAGGAGGTCTGTCCTGCACCATATATTAATTTTTGTACAATTAGAAAAATTCTCACTCACACCAATCTATTTAACCCAGAATCTACAAGATAAAAATGGTAAATGGGATACTAAAACGTGTTAGTATTATTTCAGTAAATTAAAATTGTGTACTTATGCTGATATGTTCCCATGCCAGCAAGTACGTTTAAAAACACACCATCCTATAGAATTATTCATTCAAAGCAACACTTCCAGCTCTGACAATAACAGTTATTTATTTTCTGTTTACTTGCCTCGCAGGAAACACCTCTCCTAAAGAAGTGCATGAAATATCTGGTGTATTAGATCATATTTTCAGCATTTTGTTTTATTTATTAAACCATCTGCTGCAGTGTTTTTGGGGTGGGGGCATTTGCAAACACGAGTGCTGTGGGTGTTTTTTGTTTTTGTGTTTTTTTTTCCCCACCTCTTTCCATTTTTCAGTAATAAAATAGTAAAAATTGTGTGCATAATGGGTTGTAGAAAGGTATAAATAATTCAAGGAGAGGGATATTTTTACATTTCTTGCCATAAGGACAAAAGAGGGAATAAGTTTGAAGCTACGTGTATTAAAACACTTCTTTAAAACAGATTTATGCCCCGTTGTCACAGAGTGGCATGACATGGATCGGTACACTGTAGCATGTTTGAAATTAAATTAAAATGACCACATCTCTAACAATAATTTTACAATTGTAATAAAAAATGATCATATGTAGAAAATCATACACACAATACATTTGTGTCACAATAGTAGATGGATTTACTTCACATTAAAATTTTACCATAACATTGAAAGAGTGCTATAGCTGAATTAAAAATGTAAGTATAGGCAGTGGCAGTAAAGATGAACTGCTACTGCAGTTTCATCTTTATGAATACATAAAGGCGATATGTGAGAAACAAACTAATTTTCTTTTTATGCAATATGCTCTAAAAAGTACAAAACAAAATTATATCAAAATTGTAATCCAAATCAATATTCTATGAAGATCTCTATGCACTGGGCTACATAAAAAAACACAGTTTCAGTTCTAACTTTCAAAGTCAACTAGTGGAACATAAAAACTTACTGTCCCCTAATAATGGGCTTTCTCAGTTCTCTCACCTGTGGAGGAAGAAGAGGAAGGCGGATGAAAGCGAGCAGCACCCCGAGGTCCTGCTGTCGATGCTGGACATCAAATCTCACCCACATCATCAAAGCCTGAAAAATTGTTTCTTCATCTGGAACGTTGATGTCATCGCTGGAGAGCAGTTTAACAATCTCAGCCGTGGGAAGCAGCAGGAACTCCTGGTTCTGAATGACCTCCAGGAAGTGCTCCTGGAACAGAGAGGAGACACAGAGGAGACAGATAATCATCAGTTATTAGCCGAAGAGTACGCTCGCTGCAGAGTGTGTGCTTGTGTGAGTGTGTGTCAGAGTGGCATTTTAAAGGCTACGGCGATCAAGTATAACAAGGACAGAGAGGTGAAGAAAAATGAAGAACGGTAGACAGTAATATTTCTCCTCAAGTTTCTATAAACTATAATCATACTTTCACTGAATGCAATTTTATATATATTTTTAATTTAAATAACAGGTTACAAATCAAACTAATAGCTAAAAGCCTCTAAAAGCCTTTTATGAGAAACATACAAATGACTGCCATTCCCCAACAAGGGGATTGAGTTCCAAGCATTCCAGGATTTTTACTTTATTTTCCTTTCTTGAGATTAATCTTCCATCTATTGGCCAGAGGCCCAGCCTATATGACAGCACTGCATGGCTACATCTTCAAGGTCTTTGTCTGTGGGAATTTCCATTAGAGGCAATATACTGTAGAAAAAGCTTTCCTGTCTCTGTGGATCCATCCTACATCCAAGATTCAAGCACTTGAAAGACATACTGAACAGTGTTTGGCTGCAAGCACGCCTTGTTTATTCTTCAAACAAACCAGCAGAACATTAATTACCAAGTTGCTTCAGCAACTTCGAGCTCACTTTAGAGTGAATGCCCTTAAATTAAAAAGAACAACCACGCTATTGATCATCAACTTGCAACAAATTACAGTTACTTGATCCAATCATGAGAGCAGGTTTTAGAGGCTTTGCACAGAGAGGCTTAATGAAATGAGGAGCATGTATTGATCTGTGGTGGTAAAGCTGAGGAAGAAAGTTCAGCCAAGCCTTTGATGCTGCTTTAGATCAGTTATTCCTGCTTGCATGTTTAACACAGGTGAATATAAAACTGGAAGCTAAATCAAGTTTGCTGTGTGGTCATTTAAAATGCTGTGTCCTTAATTGCTTCTCTTGTTATCTTCCTGGGAAACAAGATCAGCAAGGAGAAAGTTTATGGTTCTCGTTCTACTAAACAGTAAGAGTGTAATGGGAGTGGTTTTCACGAAGGAGTTCCTTTAATTATTTAGGGAAAACATTCAGACTGCAGAACCTTGTAAAAGTAATAGGATCTTAATTTCTTTTAACATTTTGTCATATTACAACTACAAATATGTGTATATTATATCAAGGTGTTTTTTCATAGAGCAAATAAAAGCAGTGATTAAAATGGCAAATGATACAAAATCTTAAACATATTTATGAAAGTATTTAATAAATAGAGGCTGGGTGTGTTTCCAAAGGAACACTAAACACACACTGAGTTCTAGCAACAACAATACATGGTTTCTTAAAAATCTGTAAATGATCCACAGGGTGCGGTTGTTTTTATGTATGCCTTTGTCTCTAAATGCTCTGAAGTACCAAACTTTCACTCTGAAAAAAGAATGTAGTCTGTCTTTTTGGCATAGATAGCTGTTAACAGATGTTTTTAAAGTTAAAGTTAAGAAAGCATAAAAGAAGCATGAGCTTCAGACAATTTTAAACAAATATAAAAAAATACCATTTTGGAAGTCTTAGCTATCTTCTCAAAAACAATCCATCCAAATGAATGAATTTTTGTGGAAAAATACTAATCCTACCAGGGAATTGTTTCAGAAAAAAAAAATCTCTAACTTGGTCATTAATTTTAACACTGGCAAATGCAGTAAAATGCAACACGGTAATAACAGCTCCAGAAAGCTATGGTTCCTGGAAAAATTTTCTTTTGTGGAAAAATGCTTTAAGACTCTTGTAGCTTGGCCTTTCATTTTAGCATGGAAAGCATGTCTTTGCACTGCATATTTTGTCTGGAATATTGTTTTATAACATAACCCTGGAATAAACCTCTCTTCAGTGTTTCACCAGACCTATTCTTTGGTCCTCATTACGTTTGTTCACTAATTTTTTCTAAAAGACATCTGAGTCCTACATGGATCAGCTATATTTATATTGACAATAAAACCCAAACAAATGTGCTCTGCTTAGGTTACTTTTAAAGTCAATTGATTGCATTTTATTGAAAGGCATTAGGGGACTGAATATTCACATTACATACCAACAGAAAGTACTGTAAAAGTACTGTACTGTTGCAGAAAGTATAGATCACTTCAGATCTATACTTTCTGTTGGTCAATCACAAAGTTTTAATGAAAGAAAACTGAAGTTTGGGGTTTGAACATGACAGAATGTAATAGGAGGTACTAATACTTTTGCAAGGCCTTAAAAATATGATTTCAATCTGAAGTGATAAGCAAAAATAGACTGCTTGTGTTATGCACTAAAATACTGACTAATGATTAAAAATGTCTAATGGTATATCTACATGTTTTCCATCATAAAATATTCAACAGTTTCATAAAGGAAGGACGTTAGAGGCTTGGCTGTTTTTGCTCAAACAGGGAAACCGCGCTTATCAAAACACAACTCAGTCCACTAAGAATGCAGCGGATGGTGTAACCAGGAAGTCCACAGCTCTCCCTTCTCATTACTGAAGTCATTGAACAGGAAGCTGGACCTCTTGTGCAGTTTGATGATTAGATTAACCTCCTGGACTCAGATGGAGGCTATGTAAACTGAGCGAGCAGATGTCCTTTAGGAGATAACGCCTGCATCATTCTGTCATTTCTGCATGGCTGGAAAAGAACGGATATGTGGCTGAATCTTAATCCAGTGCAAATATTCCTTGCAGAAGTAGATGGAAGTGGCTCATATGGCGGTGCAGCTCTGACAGCATACAACTCAATTACATAAAGTTAAAGCGTGAAATTATTCCGTTTCTATTATATTTCCTCATCCAAATAACAGGCGCTTAAATTATGAGATGTAAATAACCAAGGTACCAATGCTTGATAGTGTTACAGAAAATGAGAAAATATTTAAATTAGCTCATCTATAAACAAATCCATTTTCATCATTAAAGTTGTACACAGAATAAATTTTTATGTGAAAGAAAAAAATAAATAAGAACCACAAAATTCAGAAATACATTGAAAAATCTCTTAGAGTATATTTGTTTATATAAAAAAGAACATTTAATTGAAGTGGCAATCTTCAAAGTAAATGTTAGAAAAAAATTTTGGTTTGGTTTATTTACCACATTAAACACTGGTTTATAGCTTTTATTGTTGTACCTGACCATATGCATCCCTGCAGTAAAGACCCGTATTGCAAAATGAATAATTTAGTTCACCACATAATTGCTATCGAGCTCTGTTTACCATCATACCATGGTGTAGTTGTGAGCCACGTTCAGCAGATCGACACAGCCTTGGGCATCTGCAAAGGATCTTATTCCAAGGCAGTTGGACGGATGAAGCTGCTTCATGAGGAAGGTGCAGCAGACCTGGATGACTTGTGAAAGCTGGAGGAGGCATGCTGCCGCCAATAAGCTTTCAATGGTCTCCTCTTTCAGCTCAAGGACGCCTGTAATGACATGGCATGGAAATTAACATCATATTTTGTAGCAGAATATTTCTATGATAAATACGAATACTGGTGAAAGCAGTTTGTACTAAAGGAATGGGTATGCAACCTTACCACAGTAAATGTCCAGTTGAAACAAATATTTGGACACAATAAATTAAAGAGATGCAATATTTTCTAAGATAAATTAAGATGACCAAAATCATTTACAGTTGCCTAAAGGCCAGAATTGAGAGAAGGAATTCAATTATTATTACTGTTTTAATTAAAGAGTTTGCATACATTCAGTCTGAAACAATTTAGACAATGATGCCATGCTTTTCTAAGTTTTTGCCTGCACTTAATGTATATGGAGGCACATCTGTGTATTTAAAGGCAACACTTTAAATATGCTGCTTCATTTGTGGAGTCAGAGAAAAATCTAAAGGATTATACATTTTTATGTAAATAAATACTTGAAAGCAAAACACACCCACTTCAGGTTGTGTAGACATTGTTTGCTAAGTTATTTCTTTGCAAAGTGATGTTAAGAAAGTTCATTTCCTGCACTTTACAGAAGATTTGTTTGAGCACATTTGTCTGTAAAGATAATAATTTAAAAAATCTTATGCTGAAGTTATTCTCACTTTGTAAACTAATTGTTGAATTATCTTATTGATCAATTTTAATCATGCAGTATTACAGAGGTCTCATAACATTATCCCAAAGCCAATGAATTCATTTAAAGGCACTCACCAGTGTAGGCAAAATGTACCAGTGATCTGAGGGCCTCAGGATCCACTCCTTCCATCTTTATTTCCTCTTGCTTTGCCTCTCTCACATCGCTGGTAAACATAGCAGCAAAGTAGTCCGAAACTGCACTTAAGACAAGCCTGCCATGAGGGGGGAGAAAGAGCATTTAGTATGGTTTTCTTCATAGGTTTTTGTGTCTGCTGAGAGATGTGGATGTGGTAAAATGTAAAGACTGTGTTTCTTTAAGTATAGCTTTGCACTTTATATAAAAGCAAATGTTTAGAGTTTATTTGATCATGTTCTGTTAAAGTAATTACCATATATTATGTAGCTACTGTCCGATGTTTCCTGCTGTGCTGATGCTGCTTGAGTGGTTTTATGCCTTTCAAGGTCACTAAGAAATTCCCTTCAACTACATAAGTCTACTTAGTCGGTGAATGATTACATTACATGGTGCCTCACAGTAATATCTTTCACCTCACACCCTAAACTTCAGTCTACTGAATTAGAATTTTATGTAAAGTATGAATATAAAAACGAACATAATTGTGAAGTGTTAGACTTGATACTGAGGTTTTGGGTTGCCATCCAGGAGACATACAGCAAAAGTTGCATAGCTTAGATAAGCATAGAAATATGTTAAAATAGACAAAAAGAAGGAAAGTCAACTTTCAGACCTAAATCCAGAATCTGTGGTAAAACCTTAAAAACACTTTTTGCTAATTCTCCTCATCACTGGATGTGAAGTGTTTTACTACCAGAGACATACCCCAAAAGACTTGCAGATGTAATTGTAGTAAATGTGATTGTCCAAATGATTTACTTATGGGTGCTCTGTGCAAATCAGTAGCACACATTTTACAATATTGAACAATTCAATTTGAAAATGATGCACTATTTAACATTAATTTGTAGTTCTAAGGTGATGAAATGTGAAAAATAACTTGTATGAAGTATTGTCCTCATTTCAATAGTTGGACTTTCATTTCTACTTATTTCCATCGTAGTCAGAAAGATCGGATGGCATAATAAGAAAACTATAACCTCTGGCAGAAATGTTTTGATTAGTAAATTGTATCTTCACATTAAACACAATTAAAGATGAGCAGAAAACAGTTAGCATACAAGAATATCTTTTTCTGTTTGCATGCGGAAACAAAATACCAATTGACCTACAGACTATTCTGATCAGAAAGAGCCCTTTGCTATTCAGAGTACATCATGTGATCTGTTCACTTCAGTTACAACAATTGTTACCAGGCTATTAGGACCCAGTGAACAAATATTGACACCTCTGTGCAGTGGAGCGCAGCTTTTCTTTGCATCAGCCATAATAAGAATTGACAGAGGGTGTACTCAGATCAGAGCAGCATAAATGTAGAAACATGTTTGTTATTCAAGGATGCACCAAGACGGAAGGTGACAGGAATTGATTAATCGTGAGCTTGTCCACTTACCAAAATTTCGGATATTTTTCTTTTCCTTAAAGTTGTACTAATCAACACTTGTCAGTATGTCCGTTGTTACTGAAGAAAGAACCTATTTTAGTGGCTGTCAATGGTTTAAAATAAATTCAGAATAAGGACAAATGCTGTTTGGCTGTGCATTTAGGCTACTCTATCAAAAAGTAAGACCTTTGTGGGTGCTTGTTATTTCCCACCATCATCATTTCATTCTTTTGCAGTGTTGGTCACTTTATGTTACTAAAATAAGCTTTGGTACAAAACAACCTATACTCTAAAAACACATTATTGTTTTTAGCAGTATTTTGTTTCTTAAGAGAAATTGGGATTGGAAAAAAATGGTATTGGTGAGAGCACTAAATCAGAAATAGGCCAAATCTTTAATCAGTGCTGTTGTACCATTATATATGCATTGCATTTCAAACATTATCCCATTACTCTTTGGAATGAGTTGCAAACCAAGACCCATGCCAAAGCTTTCAACACATCCCTCACTAGTTTAATGAACCTCACAGAGAGTGGCAGCTTCACCTCTAATCTATAGCAGATGCAGGACTAATTAATGAAATCAAAGCAGGCAGAAGCACAAACACCAACCTATGAGCTGGTATCTTGTGATCCCCTGCTATCAGCAGTACGTCACACAGCTGCTTGTGCTGGAGGTAGGTCTCCATTTTACGGAACGTCTGCTCTGCATGATTTGTAGCCTGGAAAAATTCATCGGAGGAGTTGGTGTTCATTCTGGACAAATTGCTCAGAACCAACCTGTGGAAAACAAGATGGGAGAGATTCATTACCCCAGACTTCCAGATTATGATTTGACATCACATGTAGTGAAAAGCTAAAAAGATTACATTACGCCATTTAAAAGCACTACATAAATAAAATAAAATAAAATATAATAGCAAACTATTATAATCAGCCTTGAGAGGCATATGAGAATAAAGACAAAAGAGTTTGGAAATTTTAATTCTGAGCAATTAATTAGATGAATTATTTATCCCGACTGAGAATAAACAAGAAGCCAGTGGCTGTACACATATAGATAAGCAAAAAAGAAGCTTAGTTTGGCACATAACACCCCTGAATCCTTTTCCCTGCAGCACAAATCTATCTTCCGTGCTGTGCTGCGCTGAAACTAAAACTCTTATGTATAAACTCTGTACATGAGGAGATAGCTAAGTGCGTTGTCCAATGAGACAAGAAAGCTCCCCTATCTTTGCACCAGGATCCCGACAGAATGTAAACTCCTATTTGTTGTTCCCGTGTGTATCTGCACCACGTTTGTGTGCGTGTGTCTTCCATAGAAAACAGGGACTTAACAAGCCAACCAGTCTGTCTCTTGCAACATTGTGGCGAGGCTGAGTGCCCCAGTCCCCACAGGCTGCTAGATTACACGCTGTTTTACAGGCATCCAAGTAATCCCTCACACTCATGGAAAATAATGCAGCCCCGTCACTCTGGTGTCCTTCACAGAGAAAGTGTGTTCATTGACATTTCAGGTTGTTTGTTAAGCCACATAAACAACCGAGCTGTCTCTCCAGACGAAATTCCCATCATCTCATGGACTTTTTGCTGTGTGAAGACTGATAGTGCGCAAGAAAATAGTACATTTTTGCTGGTTGAAGCAACACTTTGTGCCCATATTTATCGTCTCTCAGACACTGATATGAAAGCTGCTTTGACCAGTTAAATTACAGATTTGTCAATAGAAATAAACTGCAAATCCAAACTGTAATGCGTGGCAGCATAATGTATTGGCACACATAGAGATTTATAATGCAGTAAAGATGGAGTGGGTTAGGGCTCCTATTGATGTCCCGTTTAACACTGTGTCTTAAAGTTTGGCTCCAAACATTCAACATTGTTTTTTTTTGTTTACCAAAAGCAATAATATGGTTCCTCTGGGAATGGTTAATGTTGTTCTGCAGTCATTGCAGTATCCTATAGTCTAATCTTTATTGGGTGACTTTATGCTAAATCCAAAAGTAATTTATTGCCCTGTCTGTGTATTCCCCTCTGACTCCAGAGTCTCGCAAAGGAACACCAAACAAGACTGAATAAGCAATTGGGCCATAAAACAGATCCATTGCTTTTCTATTGGCTCTGAGGCATGCTGTAGGGCTTTTTCATGCCTACCAATCTCTCCGACACTAATTGCTTTGGTACCACGTTCAGGGGAGCCGTAAATTTGCGCCGTGGTGTATATTGTGCTCCTAGTAGTGGGCTGCTCATCAGAGGTATAGACCAATTTTATTAAGGCACTAAAACTCCAAAAAGCCTTGCAATAAAGTAACTGCTTTTGGGACAGTGCAGCTCAAGCACGTGACCATATTACTCAGCAATTCCCCAAAAATGTGAGAGCCCATAAAAAAAGTTAACTGGCTGTGTATAAGCACAAAAGAATAAATACATTGGTCTAAAAAACTAAACCAAATAGAAGACTTAGCTTTTTTAAAATTATTGCACATTATCTCTGAGCAGATTTTATGCAAACAGCAAATGTCACCTGAAAACCCTCCATTTGGTCTTTACACCTTTTAGAGGTTTCTCACCATAATGTTAGTCACTCCAGCAGAAATGTTAAAATGACACTGCTTATCTCAGGCTATGCAAGTGAGGATGACAATTTGCAGTATTTTACACTTTTTCAAGGTGAGAAACATCTTTCAAGTCTGTTTTGCAAAATCAACATGTGCTAATTCTACCACAAGATTCAAACAAATCCAAAGCTCTGGAGTAATAACACGTTGGTGGATTATGATTTGATTTCTTTAAGGACATAATATGTTCATTTGCACTGCCAAGACTGCTGTAGCAGATTGCTGTTGCTGAAAATCACAGTCTTTTTTTCAAGCAGTATCATCTTTCTACAAGAGGGAAAGTCTTGCCTGGCAGGCCCAAATGGGAAGTATATCTTTCAAAATGGATTATAACAGCCATTTTTCCCGGAAGCCCACTAAGCAGCTTCGTCTGGGTTGAGAATCCAAAAATTCCTAAAGAACTTCTTGCATCATGTGCCAAATCTGTGTCTTTTATGAAATCTTTCAACCTCTGTACTTTGACAATCATTCTTCTCCCATTGGGCTTTGTGTTGAGAGACAAACTCACCGACTATAGCAACTTGATCGGGGAGACGATCAGACGGAAGCTCATGATGTGTAAAATGTTCTCTCTGTATATTCTTACATACACCAAAAGACATTGTTTTTCTCAGTAAATATATTTCTAATTGACCTACTAACTTGAAAGTTACACCAGAAGTCGATCAGTGCCCTGAACATCAAACTAAAAAATCCTAACAATAAAGTTATGGGTAATTATGTAGTATGGCACAGGGAATAAGTACTTAACATAAAATGTTGTTCGGTAATAAAATCCTCAAAACGTGTCTTGTAAGAAGGAACTGGTTACTTGTACTGCTCAGGAGTAATTTTGACTAAATCTTCCACAAAAAATGTCTTCAAACCTGGAAGGTTTGGAGTCCTCCTGTCTTCCTTTTCTTAGATGTCAAATGAATTGAAGTAATTTTGGTTATTTGCATTTGGGATCACTGTATTATCTTAAAATACCCTTCTTGTATTGCATGCATTTCTCAATCATCCTTCCATCAGTCGTATGAAGGTCACCAGAGTCATGAGCCAACTGACAGGCCACACCACCATGTTCCCACTGCATGTTTGGTGGTTTTGGGTCGATGTGCAATGCCATTATTCTTCTAAACATGGTGCATGCAAGGATATCGAGAGAATTAAACCTCAGCATAGTCTGATAATATTTTATTCTCCCAACATTTCATTAGCTTGTCCAAATGTTTGGGCAGTAACCTTCAAACATGCTCCAACATGCTTTCAGTGATCTGAAAATGAGCAAGACGAGAGCTATGTCGTTCATAAAAATTCTGGATGTTCTAATTCCAGATATTTCTGAAATTGCTTGTGTGACGCTTGGCTCTGTCTGCCATTCTGTCTGACTATGACCTTGCAGATCTTCAACATTAGCCTTGACCAAAACTGCAAACGGCAGCAACCAAATTCAGAGAAAGACTGCAATGCATTTTACACAAGGGGTCTGCAGCTAGAGGATGCATTATGTCAATGAGGGTCTTCACAAAGAAAGAAAGACTTGTGAATGTGTGCGCTGGGGGTTTGGAGGCGTTCTGTAAATGAAAAATGTGCAGATCCTAGCAAAAAGCTCTTTGCTGCTGGCAGGTTAACTTGCACAGAGAATGAGTCTGTCATCACCATTAGACTGTCAAAGTTAGTGCATCAACATATTAATATGCAGTGTTATAGCTCAAGTTGTACATCCAGATTACACCAAATATGAATAGATTTTTGGAAGTTTTTTTTATTATTTGAATGCTAATATTAAGACTAAATTAATCAATATTTTTGATCAATGTAAAATAGCATCATTAATGAGGAAATGCAAAATAAAACGATGGATCGTTGACATCCCCTGTGTTCAACAATCCACGGGGAATGTCAGAGTCTCTACAGATCTATTAAAGGAGAACTGAAAGGCTGAAACATTTTTCTCTGTCAAAGAAATTTAGCAAGAGGCACTATTGTTCAGAGTTACATCAGTCTCCTCAAAAATTTAAAAAGGAAACTTTTAGAGTTCAAAGGAAACTGTTGATGTCATGATTTGGTTTGATTATTAATTAATAACCGAAATTAGATAAAATGGCTATTGTTTATTAGCTTTTTGTAAGTTATAATTTTATGATCATTTATTACATCAGCCTGACACAAAAATTTATAAAAAGAATTAATATATTTGTTAGGCTATTATATTCAGCATTTTCATTTTTATGTGTTGGGCCCACAGATGTGTTTGAATCATATTTAGCCTATTCTCTAATTTCTAATAAGTATATTATTATCACCATTACAAACCAAATGATTTTTTTTAAAATATATTTTCATCTCTGTTGAAGATGTAGCTGCATTTTTATTCCATTCTTTCATGTTGTGTTTTACATCCTTATCCCAGCCTCCTGATTTAATTTCTAATGTGCCTTGGGACACTGCTTAAATAAAGCCATGGTCTCTACTAATAAATTAATAGAAAACAGAGCCACAGATTACTTTCTTAGAATTAGTTTCACATTGGGGAGAAATTGACTCATCCATATTTGAACAGAATATATCAGATGGATGTGTCCTGCATTAATGTGATTGTATTTTCATTCACCACACTTTAAAGCTTTGTTTCAGAAAGTCAAAGACTGTTTTCATGTTTCTCTTCATCTTTAGCTTAACCTTGTTTTCCAAGTCCTGTCCTTGTATCTTATTTGAGATTTAAAAAAAATTCACCTGTGTAGATGTCATTTAAGATTACAATAGATAAAGTGAAATTTACAACTCATAGTGTCTTATTGTGTCCACTGGATTCTATTACATGTGAATCTTGTGGCATTTTGATAATTCGACAAACACCTCAATTACTATTGTTGGCAGGGGTAGAGGTGATAGTATTTCTTTTTCCAAGGCGGTGGAGTGGGAATTGAGATATCATTCAAACTAACAACACGCTGAGTCAAGCCTCTGTTACTGTTTATGTGCAAGAGGTCAGGGTTTCTATTCCACTCAGGTTAACTTTGGTCATATATTCTCTGTCAAACATTGCAAAGAGGTTATTTGGATGAGAGTCATGAGGATATAACAAGTATAAGTATATAGGTAGGAACACAAAAGGACAAGGTGGACAAAAAGCACAGAAATGATTTGAACTCCATTTCAGTTTACGAGCAGAATTTAACGATGTTGCTTAAATGGACTGATACGCTCCCTTGGAAGAAGAAAATTATATAAACTAATGTTATAGCTAACGACAAAGAAAGGAATTACTTTGACAGACATTGATAATGTCTGACATTGTCAGTGTGAGACATTAATAATTGTCTGACATCTTTTCTTAAAGGAGTTTAGAACTATTACACAATAACGTTTTAAACATATGTATTCCACAAACAGAATAATAAAAACAATATGTTCATAAGTGTGGTAGGGGGCCCTTTAATCTAATACTCATAAATAATATCCAGTCCAGTCCAGTGCCGTCAGAAGTCATCTAATATGTTCAAAGAGTCCGCTTGTCTGTAGTCTAATCTCCATTTGAATCCAGCTGTTCAGTGAAGTCTTTAGAGGTTTTTAGGTACCAGTTAGTGAGCAATAAACACCAGCAAGACCAAAGATCACAACAAGCAGACCAGGAATAATGTGGAGCTGTTTGAAGCAGACTTAGGTCATACAGTCATCCAAACTTTGAACATCTCTAAGAGCACTGATCAATTCAACACCTAAACTGAAAGCAAATGGCACATCGGAAAAACCTCCAAGACATGGCTGTCCACATTATTCAAAGAAGAAGCTAAGATGCATGAAATCATTCTGAAGGAACTGTAGAGATCCACAACCCAAATATTTTGTCTGAAATTTTATAGAATGACAAGAAGACATTGTTTATAGAAAGAAACAAGGTCCCCCTGTTATTATATCTATATCTATGTTTATCTTGAGCACATCATTCCCACTGGTGAACCATGGTGGTGGTATCATCATGCTGCAGAAAAGCTTTTCTTCACTGAGAACAGAAAAGCTGCTCAGATTTGATAGAAAGTTAGATGGAGATAAATACAGGATAGCGTTAGAGGGAAAAGTTGTTAGAGGCCACAAAAGACTGAAGTGGAGGTTCTGGAGGTTCACCTTTCAGCAGGATAGCAATGATCATCAAACATTATAAAGCTTAAAGCTTCAATTGAAGAACATATGTTGCATGACTGGTGAGCACTGTAATAATGGTGAACATAGGAAATCATCTTGTGGGCCAGACACAATTTGAAAACTGATGTTCACAGACAGCATCTAATTAGACTTGAATTTTCTTGAGCATAATACAGAATAAATAATTTAGTCTCTGGATGTCCAAAGGTGGTAGAGACACTGTTCAAAAAACGTTATGAAAAGTTCTTCAACCATTAGGATTGACTCACGAGGTGTGGATATTATGCTCCAAGTTTAAATTTTTTATCCATGTATGAATTTTTAGAGTTCACAACAATGAACCAATTTGTTTTTCCCTCAGAGAAAAACAAATTTTAAAAATCACGTTAATGGGATGGAGTATTTATAGCAACTTCATGAATGAAGCTAATTATGGAGCGACACACACACACAAACCAAGAAATGACTGACACATTTTCAAACTACAGCTGAACTTTTGTTTTTCTCTGACAAGCAACAGAAGCATTCTCTAGTTTCAGCCTGAGAGACTGTGACAAATTACGTGTCAGGGATTTATGATGTGAGACGTATTAGGGCCACCCAGCTGGTGAGGTAAATAAATGTACATATCTCAGTGCCATCCACATCTGCTTAGCTACAGATGAATGCGTGAGCCATGATGTGTCACACAGTCACTGGTCTAATTTGGCTTTGCGTTATACATCTCAACATGGAGAGTTTATACCAAAGCTACAGTTACTGAGCCGCTGTGTTTCCATGAGGAGTGATCGGGATTTAAAAGTAGCTTGATGCAACACACAGCTATCGATGACCTGGTATTTGAACTTTTCTCTTTATTTTACATTCTGGATGGTCCAGACGTGCACAGCGGCTTTCCAATGCTTACACATCCCTTCTGAAAAGCTAGATTTTTGTGAAGTAATAAAATTAGATAGCATGAAAACTATGAGTTGTAAACACTTTTCCAACTTATATTGTTTTTGTTTAATTTCGACATTCAGTATTCTTTAAAGGAATCTTTCAGGTTTCCACATGTTGATGTCATTATTTTTCCAACAAAACATTTCTTGGGCACAATCCTATTCACGTATGATTTTTTTTTTTGTCAGATTTCGTTTCATATTCTGTCTGGGTCAGCACAAAAGTTGAAGTCATTCGATTATTGATCAGTGTACACTCATTTGGGCACTCTGTGATATTGAAAAGTAAAGTTCCTTTTCATCTTTAGTTCTCAGACACCTGAATGTCTTGGCTAAACTGAAAAAAAAAAAAAAAAGGCCACTTTCCTGACTGATACCTTTGTTCAAAGAAATGCTTTTAATATTTTTTAACTGCTCTTCAAACTCTAGATTTTGGATGGATTTAATCAGCAATAATCTGAAATGAATTATAAATTTATAGTATGTTCAGAATACTATTACTGATGTTTGGTGTTTACCCAAGTGTTGAAATGGGAATAATATGTACATGCACATTTTTGCAACCAGGTGGTCCTTTTTATTGTCTTAAAATATTTGTTTTTAATTTGTATTGTACAGAATGTTCTTATTTTTACATGTTACAAAAACCTAGCATTTTAAAAGGATGACCTTTTAAATCGTTCTAATTTCCAAACTGCCTAGTTTTATGTGAGAAATAAAACAAGTTGGTGTTCTTTGGTTGTTAAAAGCCTACCATTGTTTAATACATAAATTAATATCAGTGTTGTAGTGAATACATAACCCAAAAATGGATTTTATGATCCAATAGAACAGAAATGTTTCAATAATTCAGGATAATTGTCAAAATACGCTGGCCAACACGAACTCAAGGTTCCTGGGAGTCGGAGAGCTACGCATTTTCACTGTGAGCCACATCTTTTATGCATGCCCTTTTCACACACAGGGACTCCAAAACATGAACATCTGCCAATTATACCGACATGAAGAGAAGAATGTGGAGTTGATTCTACAGCCGTATCTTAACTCGGAATAATTCATGCTCAGTTCAGGGAGCCCAACCATCCACTGCCTGTGGCATTCATTCAATCCACACTGACACATTTTTCACTGTAGAGCATCAGACTACGCATTTGGCAATACACACTGAGCTCTATCTAAAACAAAGGGACAGGTTTACCATCATTGTTCATTTCATCACCAGGTGCACGGAACAAAGGCACACAGGGAATCAGCAGAGCTTAAGGACCAATCACCTCAGAATGTCACAGCCAAGATAAAAGGAGAGTTGGGCTTTTCATCTGTCTTGTGAGGTGCTCTTAGTGTTCTGCTAGACAGCATGCACACAAACAGGCTGACACTCACAGGTACATCTCTAACCTGTTTACTTCCTTGAAGATGATGTAGGATCACAAGAAGAAGTGAAGAAGAAATGCAACATTTATAGGCAAAGGAAAGTATTTACTACAACTAAATTGGTTTAGCATAAAAATTTGTCTAAAGATTTGAACCTTCTTTAGAGCTACACTAGCTTTTAGCACAAGGAGAGGACAGAGTTGTGGCTGACTCTAAGAATAAATCATCTGATTTCATTACCACCTATTTTTATTGCTCCAAGACATGTTACATGATCTAATGAATCTTTCCGGCTATCCACTTTTGACTCAATTGAAAAAATCCATTAGTGTGTTGTGTAAAAAATGAAGTGCTTAAAGGAATAAGAATCAGAGTGTGATCCAGGCTACAAAATGAAAAAGGAAGCAGAAAAGGCCCCAGCTGTAAATAATTAAAAAGCTATTTTATTGGTTTACCCTGCCTAACATGCTGTGGACAGTAAGGAATAGATGTTCTCAGGTGAGCCATGATGTCAGCCAACTAGCAAAAGATACAGAAAGCATATTGTGCAGGTAGACCTCATTTAGCTTATTTAAAGGATGTTAATATGGCTTAGCAATAAGACATAAAAAAGCAGGTTTTTCTGACTTGACTAAGAAAATGTGACATTGAGATTTAAGAATTATTTACCTAAAAGTTATTTCAGTTCCACTAGCAAATAAAAATATAAAAAAAAATTTATAACTGTTGTGGCCTTAGGATTCAGACTTTTTTCTAAAGATAACACTTTTATTTTGAAGCTAACTTATTTCTTCAAATAAGAAAGAAAAAGGAAATAAAATCCTATGATCACGTTTTTACCTATTTTCATAGATATTATAAAGGGACAAATGAGGTATAGCAAATATCTGCCTCCAAACTTATTGACGCCCATCAGTCGTCATACCTGTCTCTGGCTTCCACCTCTGCAGGTTCCTCTATGCTGCTTATCATTTCTTCTTGGCCAGAGTTTGTTTCCTCTTTCCTCGTTGTGCTGGGAGAGGAAATGCTCTTTGGATACTCCTCGTTGACCTGGAGGCCCTGGATGGTGTTTGGTTGATGATGCCATGACTGATGACCTGTCCTGACATAGACAGGTGTTGGCCCTGGCGTTTGCGACATGACGCTGTGCACAGGACTGCTGGTCTTCCGCAATCCTCCGATGCCCCTTTCCCTCGAGTGGCTCTTCAGCCGTCCCTGGACAGGAGTTCCTCTGTGGTCCAGGCCATCCTGCTGGATGTAGCTTCCCACACTGCCACCTCCACCACCAGCAGAACCTTGAGATGAATGGCTGAACCAGCGCCAACGGAGCCTGAGGATCTGTTTCACATCAAACTCCTTCTTCCCTGACACAGACATCCTCTTCTGGGTTTGGAGACGCAGGCAGTGGTATGCTGAGTCCCCAAAAACATGGAAAGCAAAGAGAAGAGCCTTGCCTTCAGTCTGCACTGATTACAGTGTGCCTCTTCTGTTCCGTTACGGACTCACAATTATCATGACCACCTCCTCCTCTTTGTAAAACACCACCGTTGGTCTTTTTAGCGGAGATGGAAAGCTACTCTCTGCAGCTTTTGTTCGTTTGCCTGAGACTACAACCCTCCCTCAGACTCTCCCTCCTCTCTTTCTCTTTCTCTCCTTCCCCCCTGTGCTGCTGCTGTTTCTGTTTGCTGCTGCTGTGCCGCTGGAGCTGAGATAATGCACATGCATGATCTACCCTCCCACCCCTGTGCCTCCTCTGTTTCGCTTTCTCCCTCTCCCTCTCTCTCTCTTTTGCTCTCTCTCACACATTCTGCTTGTCTTTCCTATGCACACAGTAACACACTCTGCACACGTTCTGTCAGAAAAAGGCACATATATCCTGGAATCTCAATGAGAAGATCTCTTAAGCCCTTCCTATACTCCTTTACTTCTGCTCTGTGTGGGTAGTTGTAGGTTTCTGTGTATTTGAGTGATAATGTGATTGTCTGCTCCTGCTGCTCGGAGAAGGTGGAGAATCAAGGAGTCAGGCTGATGAGGTCACGTCATAACAAAGCAAACCACTGCCTGTTTGAGAAGTGGTCGAGAAAGAACCTTCAAAACAATTAATATAAACTCATAAGGTAGGTGGGATTGAGCAGATTGGTATCTCATCCGGTTCGTGTCATTCTTGGATGAAATATCTTTTCCACCGTTCTATCCAATATCCCAGACACTATTTTTGCATTAATTCACTTTACAAGAAAAGCAGGTTCAATTTCTGTACAGAAACATACAATCAGATCAATCCAGTCAGATAAATGGATTCAAATCCAATTTTATAAAATGCAATTCTATGTATTTTAGTCAGCTGTAGTCATATTCGATTTACAATGCCAATTCTAAAACAGCCCCAATGATTGGGTGCTTGACTTGGAATCAACCATTTATCTTGAGCATCAATAAGACTAAGGTAGAAAGAAGCTGGTCCAAGTGGTGTAGTGGTCTTGGTCTCGAGGCCATTGAGACCATTGACCATCAAACAAGTCCCATTGTTTGATGGTCTCAAGTCTCTGGAGCTGAGGACTCTGAATTTTATTTCAAGACCAGTCAAGACCGCAACTGTGGAAATATTACTAAATTACAGCATACTGTCCAGTTTATTTGTTAACATGTTTTTTTTTTCACTGGATGCAAAACGCACCGATTAAAATTCAAGCAATAACGAGTTTCTGTTACCTCCCTCCCCACATTTCACTCGCACGTGGCGCTCCAAGACATGCGCAGTGGGTTTCTTTGAGAGGCAGAAAATGTCGTCTAATCGTCGGTAATAGACGATTAGACTGCTGTATAAATCATAAGGAATCCGATGGCGACAGCTAATTCAGCAGCGCTTCGCTTTCACAGACGGTGGGGACGACGTCTCACTTTTTTCGTCACTCAGAAAAGAAGCTCTAACAAAGGTGAGCTGCTCCGTTGACGTGATGTTAGCAAAGTTAGCTGTACAGAGACACATAAGCATTTGTGATGAAAAAAAGTCACTCATTGCCCTGAATTATAGTGCGGAGGTGTTGACTTACGTGTCGCATGTATGGGACGAAGCTGTGACCAAAAGTCTGACATGATATTCACGAACGATCCGATCTTCTGAACTTCTCTTTACTAAGAAGATAAGACTGGAGCCTCACTGAGAGCCGTTCTTTGTTCTTGTGATGCTCTGCGTACACTGCAGTAGCTATTATTTTTATTTAATTATATACATTATTTATTTAATTAGGAAATAAATAAAACACAAGACCTAAAGAGCACACAGAGCATGCCATGGTGGCAGACATTACAGCACTGTGCACTCAATTGCTGTTTTTAATGGTGCAGTCAGTGATGACTTCTGACACGAAAGATATGGGCAAATGCCCAGGGCATTGTCTTTTTAGATAAGCAGAACAAAGAGTATTGGTTAAATTTATTTCAGCTCTAAGTATTTAATATTTAGGTGTTTCTATGGGAAGGTGAATCTTTCAAATCAATTTGATTAGAAATTTTGATCATATTGTACTTATATATATCAAGTGGAGCTGATTATATTATGGATCTTTAAGGTAATGGCCCAAAACATTTTTGCATTATTACAATTGATAATATTAAAACGTTTAGCCTTTCTCAATAATGAAAAAATTCTAATGAATCAATAAATGTTTTTTTTTTGTTTTTGTTTTTTTTTTACTGGGCAGGTCACCTAGGTTTACACATTCTGTGCAGCATCACTTTCTTCAGACATTGTTTTCAAAAAGAAATTGACACAAAAGAAATGTATTTGTATATGTTTTGTGTAAGCATCTAGAGCAGTGCAAGTTATATCAAAGAGAAGTTATCTCAGAAGAGAGCCAACTATGATATCTAGCAGATAACATGAAAAGCCATTGCTTTCCTGTGCAATTCAGGTAAAAAAAAAAATCTAGCTTCCAGCATAATCTGGGATTTCTCCCCTTAACTTGAATTATTCCCGGTCAATTTTTGACTGAACCAATCAATGAACAGAAGGAGGTGTAGAGAACAATAACTTAATAAAACAATTATCTTTGCTGTTTAACAATTGTGGTCTGCTTGTAGTGAAGCTTCAGTCTGTGTTGGCCATGCTTCCAAATATTGAATGAACATTAACAGCTGCCTTGTGTGGATCAGCACTTCTCTCTTTGCAGTGATTGTTTACAGTGCAGGCGACTTCTGGTTAGCTTCTTAGCATTGAAGTGGCGAATTACATGCGTCATGGGCAAACATTAGCAACTGGGACAAATTTAAAACCTCAATAAAGTCCACACCTCCAGGGTGGAGGGTGTTTGCCAGGCAACAGGAAAGCCAGCCTAAATGCATCCTTTTTTTTCCATTTTCAACCCCTATCTGCCATGGAGCATACATAATTTGCAATTGTTAACAGACACAAGGTAGGTACACCCATTTACATTCTAGAAATTACATAGAAAGGCTGTTATATGGTGCCACTTGTTGAAAAGAGTTTGAAACTTTGACCATTGTGTTCTTGTCTTCGCTGAACTAAAAGAAAACATTTGTTGTATTGAGTTGTTTTGTGGCGCTCCTTCTATTCTCAAATTTACACTTTTGAACAATTAATACTTTCATAGCATAAAAGCTTGTCATGACGACGTGTTTGTGAATTATTATTGTGAATAGTGGCTTTTTCGGATCAATTTTGTACCGTCATTAAAACTAATAAGTCGAAGCTGAGACTTTTTAAGATACTATAAGTTTGGAAGTCCATCATGCCCTCATCCCTCTTGGTCTCAGCAATCTGCATTCAGGTCCAGCAGCTCTGTATCCTAACGTCAATGTGCTCTGGTTTCAAAAAATATCAGCAATGGTTGGATACCTTGAACATAGACATCATTATTTAATGTAAACCAAAAATCTTGGATTTGAGCATCTCTATATTTATGCATGTACATTCATAAACAGATAAGCTGTGAGACACCACTGTCTCTTTCAAAAGCACACAGACATAAACTCTACCCATCAAAGGCAAAAATAAATTAATTTCACACCAGCATACATCTGTGCTGTCTGTTAGTCACACATCAAACAGAATCCCAACGGGGGGAACGTCTCAATGTGAGGTAGCCATGCAGAAAAAATATTCTCTTTTGGTCCCTTTCTTGAAAGCCCCAGCGCTTACAACTGAAAAGCTACATACTGATGAACCTTCAAGGTCAGTAAGCTTCCTGTTTCACAGTCAGAGCTTAAAAGCTGTCATAAAGCTGTCTCTATTTGTTTTTGACATTTATCTGCAGCTTTAACTTAATACTGCCCCATTGTACAAAACCTACTCTCTCAGCTTCAAAGTAAAAAGCACAGAGAAAACCGTGCTGTTCAGATAATTTGGGGACATGTCTCTTTAACAAAAGCATGGGTAATTTAAGAACAAAATGGTATAAGGGTACATTTTGTTCTGTAAAAACTATGGAATTATTATTATATAAATTGTGAAAGTATAAAATCCACTGAGACTCACCATTCCTCATTTCACCTACTAAATATTTCAAAGCTCCTTGACGAGGCATTTCTTTTAAGGAGAAACTGCATCGGATTTTTGGTTCTTTACAACAGCTTCACACTCTTAGTTATTAGACATCAACTTTTAATACTGTGAATACAAGCATGAATCTAAACACAGCCTGATTTGTTTTCTCTTTGATCTCCTCCTTCACGACTGCAGTGAGCGAAAGAGCTGATATTAAAACAACTGTAATTCACCCACTTCACTTCCAACAAAAAATTTGTACTCCAACAGCTATTGTTTATTTTTGCCTGTCAAAGACATAAATGACTGGTTATGATTTTACAAAAAAGTACAAACCAAATATTAGCCTACAAAATATTTGTAACATATTCTATGCACCAACTGTATATTTGCTCCATTTTGTGTTAGATAAATTCAAAGATTGAAGAGTGATTACCTACAAAAGAGACTGCATTGGGAGGGTTTCTTTTTCTTTTTGTATTTCATATAACTAACTACAACTAAGACTAATACAACTAACATTTTTGTTGCTTTATGTCGGGGCTGAATAGATCTGGCTACAAGAACAATTGCTCCTAAAATTATTTCAAAACAGATCCTTGAGTGGCACATTGCCTGGCAATAGAATGGCTGCTTCTTAAAGGCATCCAATTTTGTAACGTTCCAACCAAAAAATTTTAAATCAGGAAAAAAGACAGATGTGCATGTGCATTCAACCCCTGTTAGTCTGATGTACCCTAATAAAATCTAGCATTTGCCTTCAGATGTCGCCTACATCATAAAAGATTGCCCTCCTGTGTGTTTTTAATCTTGTTACAAATACATTTGTTCTGTAAATGTCTGAAGAGAACTGTAACTAACAAAAGAGTGTCACAAAGACCAGCAAAAGCATCAGACATGTCAGGTTTTGAAACAGTTTCCCAATCTTTGAACATGTCACAAAGCTAAGGTTAGTCTATTTTAAAATTAATAAAAAAAAACTATGGCACAACTACAAACCTTAAAATATAAGATCACCCATCCAAATAGGTAGGTTAGGAGGAGCAATAATTAAATAAAACTATCAAGATGGCTGGAAAAACAGAAAAGATTGTCACTTCTGACGGGAGAATGGATCGACAGGACTGCTAATAGATGTCAACCCAAGAAATCTGATATTTGCAAGCATGTCAAGTAGAAACATGTTGTTTCTGCTTATGTTGAAAACCAAAAGTCCTGTGTACAATTTTAAAATCATTATTGAACAAAATATAATGTTGAACTGCTTTTAGAAGATGTTAAGTTATTTTTTAGCAACAATTTAACACAAAAACTTGCCAGCACTACAGAATGAATTATCAAAGAAAGCACAATTGAACACTCCCTAGAAATCAAGTTTGACTGCTCCATTTTCAAAAAAAGACAATTGTAGTAACATATGACTTTATGAATAGTAAAAAGCTATTACACAATGCTCTTCAATTGTTCTAGGAGTCAAGGACACCATCTGCCTGCTCCATAACAGATGTGGTACAAGATGTCAGGTGGTTTGGTAAACCATATTATCATCTAACGTCTGCCTCCCCAGTGAACACACCTCCATCCCCTGATAGATATTCCTGGAGCATGCAAGACAGATGAACCGTACATATTAATGCTATGAAATCCGTTAAAAAGGCAGCATAATTACAAAATCCATGCCTTTCCATTACAGAGAGATATTATGGAATCTGCTACACTTTCAAATTCTCAACAGGCATTATGATTATGTTTATTTTGTGCATTAATTACCAGGTTGGATTGTTCTGAGGATGTGTAAAATACATAAAACATGAACGGAATCCCCCTCCAAGCTCAGCCACAACTGCATGATCCTTGCACGATTATTGACTAAATCCTTTGTCAGACAATGAAAGACAGACCTGTCAAAAGCACACGATTCTCCCAGCTTAGTTCGGCAAAGACTAAGAAATCACAGCTCTGCTGCTAACATCAAAGGGGGAAAAAAAGAGTGTTCATACACATAAATCCACGATTTAAATATTGCAATCCATTAGGCATACGTTTAATTATCTTATAAAACATCTTAATTGAGTGGTGTACATGTAAATAACTAATGCAGTCAACCGCACACTAAAGAAGAAGCAATATTTATGAATTGTCTTAAATTATGCGCTAACAAACAGTAGCTCCTGGATCAATAATAACAACACGTCTAGGCATAATGAGGACCATACTTCAGCACAAATCCATGCTGTGATTAGAATGAGGTAAATTAACAAAACAAAAAAAGTCAGCTGGCTCAGCTCTCTTCTGGCTCTTTTTTTTTTTTTTTTTTTTTTTTTTGCAGTATCAAGTAAAAAATGTTGACATACAACTACTACCTTGATTTAAGTCAGATTTAGTAACCTGTCTTCTTACCAGTAAAACCGCCTTGTTCTATGCGCTTGTCCGTTTGAAACTTGTTGCTGGAATGAATGGCGAAAAGATTCTGTGAATCTTTTCCTACTCATTCTTGTCCCACGTCCCTCCTTCACTACAAACATGTTTTTTTTTTTTCAACAGAGAGGAAGGGGGCACCTTCCTCTTTCAAAGGAAACTCCTGTTAAGTTTCCTTCCTCTGCACTGGAAAAACAATTGCATTCAAAGAACCAGGAACTCTGGAAACACATCCTGTGTTGCAAGCAATACTGCTTTTGCAAAGAATCATCCTGAAAACACTAATGTAAACAGGAGTTTGAAGTGATGATTGTTAAAACTACTAAAGGGGTTTTAGTAAAAGCATTTGCTTTTAAATATATGTACATATTTAAAATTATTATGAAGTTTAAAAAGCAGGAAAAAAGTATGAAAGCTTCATACAATTTTGTAACTTTAAGGATTTCATTTGTCAATAAAAATGTCTCATGTAGCTAAATGAACGTATTAAGTACACCATCACACTGTCAATGTTCTTGTTAAAAAGAACTCAACAATATGCATTTTCTTGTGGTCAGGGATCAACTGGTTTTTTTATTCAATCATTATTGCTATACCTGATGAAACATGTTCAATTTGAGACAAAGTTTGAACAGCAACATAAAGCTTTAAATGCTAATTTCTACCATTGCATGAAAGTGTTAACAGTTGCTGACATTGTCATTTTTGATAGTTTAATAAGTAATAAGTGACAATGTCAGCAACCTATTCACACATGAAACAGGTGAGAAAGTTTATAAATCTTTCAATGTTTTGTGTGAATTTGGCCCTAGAAAAAATGCTTAATCTTAAACCATAGGGACAAGGTTGTTACAAAATGGATGGATGGATGGAAGATGCTCTGGTCCAATTAAAGCAAATGTTACTTTTTTGGCCTATACGTGGAGAAAAACTAACCCTTGACATCAATGTAAATACCCCAAATAGTGCATATGAACAAAAACATGATGCAGAAGTAGATCATCACTCATCTAAGTTCAGCAACTTGGGCATTAAAGTGAGGGAAAGGCAATTTCAGAACTTAACACTCCATAATGGCTTTCTTTTGTTTAGTCAGAATAGGAGTCCGGTATTTATTCATAGGTTTTATTGATCATTTACATTTACTGTCACGTGATTAAGGACACAATATTGAAAGTGTATCTTAGAACAGTGGTGCCCCTAAGCTGTCCTTTCTAACTCCCAATCTAATAAAGAATGAATATTGTTCTTAATTGTTTCATAGGTGAATAATAAGACTGAATGAAGCAGACACATAGATAATCACATAAAAAAAATCTTGGCCAGTTTTACCCCTTGTACTTCTGCTCAGATAAACAGCAGTCATTCCATCTATAAGAGCTGCATTTCTTTTTTACTTTCGGATAGTAAGTATGTTTAAATGTGCCACTGACCACTCGCTTATTCATAAGGGGTCTGTAGTGTTTATCTCCCTTACCTCCACTGCCCCTTTAGTTGGTTTTTTGCTTAGGTGCAAAACACATGCACATGAAACATTAGTGATGACAAAGATTATTTGTGTAAGTAAATATCATTGGCTCGACAGTATTTAGTGTTTAACTGTTTTTAGTCACTTGTCAACTTTCACTCACCGTCTTGCATTGGAAAATAGTACAAAACAAATTTTGCCAAATACTTAAGAATCATTGATTCTCTGAATAAAAATTGCTAATTTATTCTAAAAGGCCTTAAAACATAATTGTGATTAATACTGTAAAACATTTTATAATACAAATACATTGTTTTGTGTATTTGTATTATTAATTTAGTGAATATGGTTTTATGACATGCACCCACAGAATCACTTGTCCAGAGTCTATCTTTGCTGAAAAAAATTCTACATTGTAAATATCCTTGACAATACAGAAAATTAGGAAAAGATGAAAGAGAAAAATTTTAAATCAAAGTAAGCTTGTCCCAAATTTTTGTTTACACTACCAGATTATTTTTAAACAGGCATTAAAGTCAGGCAACTCTGTGGTAAGTTACATTCTTGGGGACTTTACCCTAATCCAGAAGAAAAATGTACAAGACAATTCATTATACTGTTATCTATCTGTGTTATATTATGTTACATATTAAGTAGTTTTATCACTAAAAGTGGGGCTGCTCAGTAGCACTGTTGCCTTGCAGAAAGAAGGTCCTGGGTTCGATTCCAGGGTCTTTCTGCACGGAGTTTGCATTTTCTCCCTGTGCATGCCTGGTTTTCTCCGGGTCGTCCGGCTTCCTCCCACTGTCCAAAAACATGATTGTTAGGTAAATTGGTCTCTCCATATTCTCCCTAGGTGTGAGTGTGTGTGTGTATGGATTTTTGTCTGTCTCTATGTTGCTCTGCAACAGACTGGCAACCTGTCCAGAACGTTAGGCACCAGCACCTCCCAACCCCACGATGGACAAGGGTGTAAAGAAAATGGATGGATGGATCACTGAAAGTCTTAATCAATATTGCTATGCCAGAAATAATCTTTCTGACGGTGATCAGATCCAGGTCCACCACTGTCAGGCAGTGTCATTATTTGTTTTAAATTAATGTTATCTATTTCTCCAGTGCAGTTGGTTCATTACATAATGTTTCCCTTGCAAATTGAACAAATTAATTTGATTTGAGATTTCAATTTGATATATAAAGGGTATTGTAAATAAAACTGCTTATTATGTAAGATTATTATGATTACTTATATCCAAAATTTTATATTTTATAGTGAATGCTAAAAATAGACATTGAATTAAGACTTTTTAAATAGGCACACATGCAATGCTGTAAAAATGCTGAAAGTTAAAGATTAAAAGTATAATAGCACACAAAAGGATAAGACATAAAAGTTCCATATTTATAGTATAACATAATAAGATATTTTGTGTTGTGTGTAACTGTGTTGACAAAAACAATTCAGTGAGGAAATTTAAAACTTTTATTAAAAAGGGCATTACTTGTGTTGGGATTTTTGTACATTCAAGTGACTAATGTTTCTTAAAGTGAATTTGGAGATTATTGACTGCCAGAAGTATTTTTATAAAAGTTTTATTGGCTCTAGCTGCCTTTATTTGATAGTGAATTAACAAGAAAATAGGTGATGAGAAAAGGCGGAAAAGATGCGGTAAAGGTCACCAGGCCGGGAAATGAACCTGCTACAGCTGCATTGAGGACTAAGGCCTCCTTTTGTGGGTTGTGGTTAACTCCTGCGCCACCACAGCACACACTACCAGTTGTGTTTTAATATTCAGATTTATATGTGTCAATCTATATTTGACACTATTCTGTGTGAAATTAACACATTCCTAGTATTAACTTTTCACACTATAGTAAATCAACACTGATGTGTATTAAATTTCAATTACTGAGAGTGTTGATTCAACTCTATCACAAATAACACTTTCAAAAGTGTTACTTTAACATTATCAAGAGTGGACCAATATAGACACTTTCAAAGTGTTGAATTCAACTCTTGGAATTTAATCAACACTTTCACATTTGCTGTGTTCTGATGCGCAATATTTATCAAACCTAAATAGGTAAAGTAATGTTTAAGTGGATTAACTTGTGTTTAAATGAATTTGCAGAATAGCCAATTGTGATTGCAAACCTTTCTAACGTGGTCTTAAAGTTACAGCTCCGGTGAATAATGTTAGCAGCGGTTTCTGTGGTTGTTACAAACTGAAGTTACCATATGATTTGTAGCTTTGATAGCCATGTTTTCAACCTGAAACAGTAGTGGACAAATATGAGAATAGTCTCAAGTTTACCTGGTTAATGGTTGATAACAATATAGTACATTTCCTCTCCGAATAGGCCAAGGAGAGGCCATGGCAAGTCAAAAATACAATAATTGTTTTCACCAGCCTCATTAATGTCATTCACTCCACCAGGCCTATTACTAATAGTTTGCATGTTATTGTTGACCACAAAGCCATGTATTTCAAAGAAAGATTTAGCCCGTCATATTTAAAGGTTGTAATGCTTGAATATTCATTTTTACATTGAACGTCTGCTTAAGAGTGCTAAGCAGGGGTGTTTCACTGAAGTTTCCGAAGAGGGCTAAATGGAAATGATAAATGATCTTGGGTTGTGACACTAAAATAAAAACCCAGATAGAAAAAAAATGAGTGACAGATATCAAACACAACATGTAGGTCAAACACTGACATAAACATAAATACACACATTCCAAAAATCATTTTAATTGAACCTATTTGTCTTTTTACTTAAGTTAATTAAAAAATATTATCCAAATATAACTTTCTCATTTTATTATTTCACAAAAAATAAGGAGTGCAGGTGATTTGATTTTGTAATTCTTAATGTAAATTGAAATGTTAACTTTGCACATGTGTGAAACTCTCCATATTATACTTCAGTGCCATAGTCAGTAACATTCAGATAATGGTGAAACCACAGATATCACATGAGACAAGTAACCAATAACTTCTTGTCCCCAAATGAAAACAGTTCTTTCTTCTGGGCTGATGCCAAGATAAGAATCTCCCCCCATGATATGTCAAGCTCTACCGTCCAAACCTTTTCCAGCTGGTTTTGAGTCAGTTTAAATGCTTCCCTATATGATACCAGAAAGAGCAAAATATTTTTTCTTTACAATAAATATGGATGTTCGTAGCTGATGGTTTTATATTGGGAAATAAAGAGCAACAAAATACAATCCTTCTATCAGTAGGTTATTTTATATGCTGAAGGCCACAGAATTTTGTTAAACTTGATAAGAATCTTCAATTATAGGAACTAGAAATATGAAAAACCATAAAATGTAAAGATTGGAAGAAAAAGCAAATAACCCATACCAGGTTTGTTGTCTATAATCCCAGTGTGTAAAAGTACTTAATGTAAATTATTATAGCTGTCCTGTAATGTTTCATATAATTATGTAAAATAAAATTGTGACAGAACTCAAAAAATACTTATTATTCAGCTGACTCACAAAAACTCCAAATCAAGTTCAAAAACAAGAATAATCTCTACAAATCCGTTTATTGCATTTAGTTGGCAGAATGCACACAGAAGCATGGATCCAAAAAAATATGCACTCCATCAAATATTAATGGTATACATCTTTCTACCTGCAAAGAAGTTGTTTGAAAACAGATGACATTAAGATGTGAGTGTGACATGACCAGAGTAGGTGTCTATACAAAACAAAGTCTCACAAATGAAATTAAATATAGAGGATTACTAACTGTTAGAATGTAAAAATGACAGGATTAAGAAACCAGTTTAAAATAAACAAAGAAATTTAATTTTTATTGTGACAACATTTTTAGCAATTACAACTTTTCTTTAATGAAGAGACAGCAATCAGAAGTACGCACAGCACTTCAAAGAATTTCCAAAAAGATTGTCCTTGCAATTGTGCTATATACAGGTATATGAATCTTCAGAAGGTTGTCAAAATTACATTGCAAAAATACAATTCTGCACTGACTACTATTGAAGCTTACAAAAAAAACAAAAAAACAATTGTACATGTACTAAAATGGAAACTGGTTAAAATTGTGTTTCAAATGTATTTAGAGCATTTTCCTTCGAAACAACTGTGATGTATTTTCTTTGCAGTAGACCCCTGGTTACGAATATGTAACAACCATTCAATAAAAATCATTCATTTAAAGAAGAAACAAAATGTATGACCTATAATTTTGTGTGATGCAATAGATTAATAAATCTGGACTATGTACAAAACAATATTCATTAATAAAAGTATACATTTATCTTATGTACAGTTTGAAGAATTTTTTAACAATCTAATTCTCTCCTGTTTCATTTTCTTTAAAATTATCATTCATAGGTAAACAGAGATAATTGTGCATGTTCTAGTAAATTTAAAAGAACTGAAGTTCAAAACTTATACTGCATTAGGAGATTGTATTTGAGTGCATATACAAAAGATGAATTGATGTTATTACTTTTTGGGAGAAACCGATAGTTCAAGTTTTGGAAGCCTGAAAGCACCTCTTGATCCACTGTCACTGCTTGAGGAGGATGACAATCTAGATTTTTTCAGAGGTACAGAAGCATCTGTACTCCCCTCTATCTCTCCTTCATTGTCGTTTCCAAGTGATACTTCGTATGAGCCCTTGGACTTAGATCCAAAACCTCCAAATGTGCCAAATTTTAATTTGCCTTTCTTGCCTTTGACCTTAGTTCCTCCTACATCTATTGAAATGTCTCCAGATTCAGCTTCTGAAAGAGCTGAAGGAGAGCTAACTCCAAGCGAACCTTCATCGCTGGCAGAGGAAGATCGGTGCTTTGACTTTTTAAATAGATCCAGTGAGGCTGACTTTCCTTTAGCTGACAAACTGACTCCAGATTCACCTTCCAGGTCTAATTTTCCACCCATCATTGCATCTGATTTTCCTTTTCCTGCAACATTTTGGCCTTCCACCTTAGGCTGAAGAATGCCAAACTTTGGCACTTTGATTTTTGGAAACAGTATTGTACCCTCTGGATACTGAAGGCCACTAGCTGATTGTCCTGAAGTTCCTGCACTAAGCTCTGGACCTCCTTTGACATTAACATCAGAGCCTTCCAAACAAATCTTTGCACTGTCAGATGATACACTTGCATCAGGTGATTTAAATCCTTCAGCTAAAGATCCATCACCTTTTAGTTTGGGAGATTTAATATCTAGTTCTACATCAGGGAAATGAAGTTTACCAAAAAGAGGCTTCTTAGTGTTTGTCCCTTTCACATGAATATTTGGTGTGTCAATATCCTGGTCTACTTCTGGTGTTTCAGCTTCTTGCTTCCTTGCTTTTCCTTTCACTTTTGGAAGTTTGAATTTTCCCTTTTTCCCCTTCACATCTATGTCAGGGACATCAAGACTTGCTTCAGTGGAACCAAATTCTGGTCCTTTTACCTTTACTTCAGGTGCTTTAATGTTAACGTCACCTTTTGGAAAATTTACATTAACTTCTGATTCTGATGGCAGTGTGACTTTGGACATTTTAAAACCAACCTTGGGGCCTCCAGTATGAACTTCAGGATCCTTGATACCAACATCAGGAGCTTTAAGATGCATGTCCACATCTGACATGGATAATTTTGGTCCTTTAATTTCAATGTCTGTTTTAGGAAGATTAACATTAATTTCTTTTCCTTCAACATTTGAGCCTTTCAGATTAATATCCCATTTGGGGCCTGATACAGTTGGCAGTTTCACTTTGGGGGCTTTAAAGTCTACTTTAGAGGAATCAATATCTATTTTGGCTTTGGAAAGGTTGATGTCAACATCTTGACTCCCTGCTTTAACATCTCCTTTTGTTTTAAGCCCTGTAAGATTAATGTTTAAGTCAGGCAAGGTGGGTCCTGATACTGAGGGAAGTTTAACATTGGGACTTGCATCAGGGCCTTTAACATCAACTCCACCAATGTCAACTTTGGGGGTTACTGTATCACCATTGACATTTGGAATGGTTATAGTATCATTTGAATTTTCCAGCTGAGGAAGTTTGATGCCAAAAGATGGTATCTTGATCTTGGACATGTCTAATCCACCCTTCGGTCCCTCAACTTCAAACGTTGAACCTTTAATATCAGCTTTTTTCAGGCCTAGATCTACATCTGGAATTGACACATTCAAATCCCCTTTAAGTTTTGGACCGGTCAGATTTAAGTCCACATCTTTTGATCCTTTAAGTTTTCCACTGTGAATATCGACATCAAATCCTGCTCCTGCTGTCGTGATATCTGATGTTTTTATGTCAATTCCAGATTCTGAAAGACCAGCTTCTGGCATGTCAACTTTTGGACCCTTGAGGCCAAATTTTGGGATCTTAAATTTGGGACTTTTAGATTTTGAACCAGACAAACTAATGTCAACATCAAGTCCCTCACGGCTCCCGGTCTTTCCTTTAATGTTGATATCTCCATGTTCCAGTTTAATATCAGGTTCTGAGGTCTTTATCTTAGGACTCTTGAATCCAACCTTGGGCATTTTGAACTTAGATTTTTTCTGAGGTACTTCCAAGGCATCAGTGCCTTTCAGGTCAGCTTTTGGAAATTGACCATCTCCTTTAAATTCACCCTTTAATTTTGATCCCTTCAGATTTATGTCAACATTTGGTGGTGCTGCTTTGGAACCAGATATTGGTTCAGGACTATGTTTTAGATCAATATCAAGACTTGGAACATCGGTTGTAACTTTCACACCTTTGATGTCTATTTCAGGTGTTTTGATATCTCCTTTGATTTTTGGACCTGAAACATCCATGTCACCTTTGAGTTTTGGGCCCTTCAAGTTGAAATCCACATCTGGCATGGATACTTTTGGGCCAGATATGCTTGGTATGTTCAATTTGGGACCTTTGAGTTTAGCATTTGGTCCCTTAATGTCAAGGTCTGCTCCTTCAATATCTACATCTGGTGCTTTCACATCAATATCTGCCTTGGGGAGGTTGATGTCAACATCTGGACCTTCTAGCTTGGGGCCTTTCAAACCAAAGGAGGGCATCTTGAATTTAGGCATTTTCAGTCCACCTTTGGAACCATCAAAGTCAATGTCTGGGACTTCAATGTCCAACTCTGGGCCCTTGAGATCTCCTTCAATCTTTGGCATTTTAACATCCATATCCCCTTCAACCTTTGGACCTTTCAGATTTATGTCAACATCTGGCATATCCACTTTTGGACCTTTCAAATTCAGTGAAGGCATTTTTATTTTAGGCATTTCAAATCCTCCCTTGGTTCCTTCAATATCAACATTTGGACCTTTGATGTCTATATCAGGTGATTTGATGTCTCCTTTGATCTTTGGACCTGAAACATCCATGTCACCCTTGAGTTTGGGGCCTTTAAAGTTGAAATCCATTTCTGGCATGGATACTTTTGGTCCAGATATGCTTGGCATGTGGAATTTGGGACCTTTAAGTTTGGCATTTGGTCCATTAATGTCAAGGTCTGCTCCTTCAATATCAACATCTGGTGCTTTCACATCAATATCTGCCTTGGGGAGGTTGATATCAACATCCGGACCTTCTAGCTTGGGGCCTTTCAAACCAAAGGAGGGCATCTTGAATTTAGGCATTTTCAGTCCACCTTTGGGACCCTCAATGTCAATGTCTGGGCATTCAATGTCCACCTCGGGGCCCTTGAGATCTCCTTCAATCTTTGGCATTTTAACATCCATATCCCCTTCAACCTTTGGACCTTTCAGATTTATGTCAACATCTGGCATATCCACTTTTGGACCTTTCAAATTCAGTGAAGGCATTTTTATTTTAGGCATTTCAAATCCTCCCTTGGTTCCTTCAATATTAACATTTGGACCTTTGATGTCTATATCAGGTGATTTGATCCTTTGATCTTTGGACCTGAAACATCCATGTCACCCTTGTGTTTGGGGCCTTTAAAGTTGAAATCCATATCTGGCATGGATACTTTTGGTCCAGATATGCTTGGCATGTGGAATTTGGGACCTTTCAATTTGGCATTTGGTCCCATAATGTCAAGGTCTGCTCCTTCAATATCAACATCTGGTGCTTTTACATCAATATCTGCTTTGGGTAGGTTTATATCAACATCTGGACCTTCTAGCTTGGGGCCTTTCAAACCAAATGAGGGCATCTTGAATTTAGGCATTTTCAGTCCACCTTTGGGACCCTCAATGTCAACATCAGGGCATTCAATGTCCACTTCTGGGCCTTTGAGATCTCCTTTAATCTTTGGCATTTTAACATCCACATCCCCTTCAACCTTTGGACCTTTCAGATTTATGTCAACATCTGGCATATCCACTTTTGGACCTTTCAAATTCAGTGAAGGCATTTTTATTTTAGGCATTTCAAATCCTCCTTTCGGTCCTTCAATATCAACTTCTGGACCTTTGATGTCTATTTCAGGTGTTTTGATGTCTCCTTTGATCTTTGGGCCTGAACCATCCATGTCACCTTTGAGTTTGGGGCCTTTCAAGTTGAAATCCACATCTGGCATGGATACTTTTGCTCCAGATATGGTTGGCATGTTTAATTTGGGACCTTTCAGTTTGGCATTTGGTCCCTTAATGTCAAGGTCTGCTCCTTCAATATCAACATCTGGTGCTTTCACATCAATATCTGCCTTGGGAGGTTGATGTCAACATCTGGACCTTCTAGCTTGGGGCCTTTCAAACCAAATGAGGGCATCTTGAATTTAGGCATTTTCAGTCCACCTTTGGGTCCCCCAATGTCAACATCAGGGCATTCAATGTCCACTTCTGGGCCTTTCAGATCTCCTTTAATCTTTGGCATTTTAACATCCACATCCCCTTCAACCTTAGGACCTTTCAGATTTATGTCAACATCTGGCATATCCACTTTTGGACCTTTCAAATTCAGTGAAGGCATTTTTATTTTAGGCATTTCAAATCCTCCTTTTGGTCCTTCAATATCAACTTCTGGACCTTTGATGTCTATTTCAGGTGTTTTGATGTCTCCTTTGATCTTTGGACCTGAAACATCCATGTCACCTTTGAGTTTGGGGCCTTTCAAGTTGAAATCCACATCTGGCATGGATACTTTTGGTCCAGATATGCTTGGCATGTTTAATTTGGGACCTTTCAGTTTGGCATTGGGTCCCTTAATGTCAAGGTCTGCTCCTTCAATATCAACATCTGGTGCTTTCACATCAATATCTGCCTTGGGGAGGTTGATGTCAACATCTGGACCTTCTAGCTTGGGGCCTTTCAAACCAAATGAGGGCATCTTGAATTTAGGCATTTTCAGTCCACCTTTGGAACCCTCAATGTCAATATCCGGACATTCAATGTCCACTTCTGGGCCTTTGAGATCTCCTTTAATCTTTGGCATTTTAACATCCACATCCCCTTCAACCTTAGGACCTTTCAGATTGATGTCAACATCTGGCATATCCACTTGTGGACCTTTAGATTCAGTGAAGGCATTTTTATTTTAGGCATTTCAAATCCTCCCTTGGGTCCTTCAATATCAACATCTGGACCTTTGATGTCTATTTCAGGTGTTTTGATGTCTCCTTTGATCTTTGGACCTGAACCATCCATGTCACCTTTGAGTTTGGGGCCTTTCAAGTTGAAATCCACATCTGGCATGGATATGGTTGGCATGTGGAATTTGGGACCTTTCAGTTTGGCATTCGTTCCCGTCATTTCAAGGTCTGCTCCTTCAATGTCAACATCTGGTGCTTTCACATCAATATCTGGCACAGAGACCTTTGGACTTGTAATTTTTGGCATTCTAAATTTTTTTCCTTTCACTTTTATGTTTGATCCCTGAACAGCAAGATCTTTTCCTTTTATGTTTAAATCTGCAGCTTTTGTGTCAATATTTGATTTAGGGAGATTGACATCAGCATCAACAGAATCTGCTTTAGATCCTTTGAAACTAAATGAGGGCATTTTGAATTTAGGCATCTTGAACCCACTTTTGTGCACCTCAATGTCAATGTTTGGGGCTTCAATGTCCACCTCTGGGCCTTTGAGATCTCCTTTGATCTTTGGCATTTTAACATCCACATCCCCTTCAACCTTAGGACCTTTCAGATTGATGTCAACATCTGGCATATCCACGTTTGGACCTTTCAAATTGAGTGATGGCATTTTTATTTTAGGCATTTCAAATCCTCCCTTTGGTCCTTCAATGTCAACTTCTGGTCCTTTGATGTCCGTTTCAGGATTTAATATCTCCTTTGATCTTTGGACCTGAAACATCCATGTCACCTTTGAGTTTGGGACCTTTCAAGTTGAAATCCACATCTGGCATGGATACTTTTGGTCCAGATATGCTTGGCATGTGGAATTTGGGACCTTTCAGTTTGGCATTTGGTCCCTTAATGTCAAGGTCTGCTCCTTCAATATCTACATCTGGTGCTTTCACATCAATATCTGCCTTGGGGAGGTCGATGTCAACATCTGGACCTTCTAGCTTGGGGCCTTTCAAACCAAATGAGGGCATCTTGAATTTAGGCATTTTCAGTCCACCTTTGGGACCCTCAATGTCAATATCTGGGCATTCAATGTCCACCTCTGGGCCTTTGAGATCTCCTTTAATCTTTGGCATTTTAACATCCACATCCCCTTCAACCTTAGGACCTTTCAATTTATGTCAACATCTGGCATATCCACTTTGGACCTTTCAAATTGAGTGATGGCATTTTTATTTTAGGCATTTCAAATCCTCCCTTTGGTCTTCAATATCAACATTTGGACCTTTGATGCATTTCAGGTGTTTTGATATCTCCTTTGATCTTTGGACCTGAAACATCCATGTCACCTTTGAGTTTGGGCCTTTCAAGTTGAAATCCACATCTGGCATGGATAGTTTTGGTCCAGATATGCTTGGCATGTTTAATTTGGGACCTTTCAGTTTGGCATTGGGTCCCTTAATGTCAAGGTCTGCTCCTTCAATATCAACTTCTGGTGCATTCACATCAATATCTGCCTTGGGGAGGTCGATGTCAACATCTGGACCTTCTAGCTTGGGGCCTTTCAAACCAAATGATGGCATCTTGAATTTAGGCATTTTCAGTCCACCTTTGGGACCCTCAATGTCAATGTCTGGGCATTCAATGTCCACCTCTGGGCCTTTGAGATCTCCTTTAATCTTTGGCATTTTAACATCCACATCTCCTTCAACCTTAGGACCTTTCAGATTGATGTCAACATCTGGCATATCCACGTTTGGACCTTTCAAGTTGAGTGAGGCATTTTTATTTTAGGCATTTCAAATCCTCCCTTTGGTCCTTCAATATCAACATTTGGAACTTTGATGTCTATTTCAGGTGTTTTGATGTCTCCTTTATCTTTGGACCTGAAACATCCATGTCACCTTTGAGTTTGGGGCCTTTCAAGTTGAAATCCACATCTGGCATGGATAGTTTTGGTCCAGATATGCTTGGCATGTGGAATTTGGGACCTTTCAGTTTGGCATTTGGTCCCTTAATGTCAAGGTCTGCTCCTTCTATATCTACATCTGGTGCTTTCACATCAAAATCTGCCTTGGGGAGGTTGATGTCAACATCCGGACCTTCTAGCTTGGGGCCTTTCAAACCAAAGGAGGGCATCTTGAATTTAGGCATTTTCAGTCCACCTTTGGGACCCTCAATGTCAACATCGGGGCATTCAATGTCCACTTCTGGGCCTTTCAGATCTCCTTTAATCTTTGGCATTTTAACATCCACATCTCCTTCAACCTTAGGACCTTTCAGATTGATGTCAACATCTGGCATATCCACGTTTGGACCTTTCAAGTTGAGTGATGGCATTTTTATTTTAGGCATTTCAAATCCTCCCTTTGGTCCTTCAATATCAACATTTGGAACTTTGATGTCTATTTCAGGTGTTTTGATGTCTCCTTTTATCTTTGGACCTGAAACATCCATGTCACCTTTGAGTTTGGGGCCTTTCAAGTTGAAATCCACATCTGGCATGGATACTTTTGGTCCAGATATGCTTGGCATGTGGAATTTGGGACCTTTCAGTTTGGCATTTGGTCCCTTAATGTCAAGGTCTGCTCCTTCAATATCTACATCTGGTGCTTTCACATCAATATCTGCCTTGGGGAGGTTGATGTCAACATCTGCACCTTCTAGCTTGGGGCCTTTCAAACCAAATGAGGGCATCTTGAATTTAGGCATTTTCAGTCCACCTTTGGGACCCTCAATGTCAATGTCTGGGCCTTCAATGTCCACGTCTGGGGCTTTGAGATCTCCTTTAATCTTTGGCATTTTAAGATCCAAATCCCCTTCAACCTTAGGACCTTTCATATTTATGTCAACATCTGGCATATCCACTTTTGGACCTTTTAAATTTAGTGAAGGCATTTTTATTTTAGGCATTTCAAATCCTCCCTTTGGTCCTTCAATGTCAACTTCTGGTCCTTTGATGTCCATTTCAGGGGATTTAATATCTCCTTTGATCTTTGGACCTGAAACATCCATGTCACCTTTGAGTTTGGGACCTTTCAAGTTGAAATCCAAATCTGGCATGGATACTTTTGGTCCAGATATGCTTGGCATGTGGAATTTGGGACCTTTCAGTTTGGCATTTGGTCCCTTAATGTCAAGGTCTGCTCCTTCAATATCTACATCTGGTGCTTTCACATCAATATCTGCCTTGGGGAGGTCGATGTCAACATCTGGACCTTCTAGCTTGGGGCCTTTCAAACCAAATGAGGGCATCTTGAATTTAGGCATTTTCAGTCCACCTTTGGGACCCTCAATGTCAATGTCTGGGCATTCAATGTCCACCTCTGGGCCTTTGAGATCTCCTTTAATCTTTGGCATTTTAACATCCACATCCCCTTCAACCTTAGGACCTTTCAAATTTATGTCAACATCTGGCATATCCACTTTTGGACCTTTCAAATTGAGTGATGGCATTTTTATTTTAGGCATTTCAAATCCTCCCTTTGGTCCTTCAATATCAACATTTGGACCTTTGATGTCTATTTCAGGTGTTTTGATATCTCCTTTGATCTTTGGACCTGAAACATCCATGTCACCTTTGAGTTTGGGGCCTTTCAAGTTGAAATCCACATCTGGCATGGATAGTTTTGGTCCAGATATGCTTGGCATGTGGAATTTGGGACCTTTCAGTTTGGCATTGGGTCCCTTAATGTCAAGGTCTGCTCCTTCAATATCTACATCTGGTGCTTTCACATCAATATCTGCCTTGGGGAGGTCGATGTCAACATCTGGACCTTCTAGCTTGGGGCCTTTCAAACCAAATGAGGGCATCTTGAATTTAGGCATTTTCAGTCCACCTTTGGGACCCTCAATGTCAATGTCTGGGCATTCAATGTCCACCTCTGGGCCTTTGAGATCTCCTTTAATCTTTGGCATTTTAACATCCACATCCCCTTCAACCTTAGGACCTTTAAATTTATGTCAACATCTGGCATATCCACGTTTGGACCTTTCAAATTGAGTGATGGCATTTTTATTTTAGGCATTTCAAATCCTCCCTTTGGTCCTTCAATATCAACAGTTGGACCTTTGATGTCTATTTCAGGTGTTTTGATGTCTCCTTTTATCTTTGGACCTGAAACATCCATGTCACCTTTGAGTTTGGGGCCTTTCAAGTTGAAATCCACATCTGGCATGGATAGTTTTGGTCCAGATATGCTTGGCATGTGGAATTTGGGACCTTTCAGTTTGGCATTTGGTCCCTTAATGTCAAGGTCTGCTCCTTCAATATCTACATTTGGTGCTTTCACATCAATATCTGCCTTGGGAGGCGATGTCAACATCTGGACCTTCTAGCTTGGGGCCTTTCAAACCAAATGAGGGCATCTTGAATTTAGGCATTTTCAGTCCACCTTTGGGACCCTCAATGTCAATGTCTGGGCATTCAATGTCCACCTCTGGGCCTTTGAGATCTCCTTTAATCTTTGGCATTTTAACATCCACATCCCTTCAACCATAGGACCTTTCAAATTTATGTCAACATCTGGCATATCCACGTTTGGACCTTTCAAATTGAGTGATGGCATTTTTATTTTAGGCATTTCAAATCCTCCCTTTGGTCCTTCGATATCAACATTTGGACCTTTGATGTCTATTTCAGGTGTTTTGATGTCTCCTTTTATCTTTGGACCTAAAACATCCATGTCACCTTTGAGTTTGGGGCCTTTCACGTTGAAATCCACATCAGGCATGGATAGTTTTGGTCCAGATATGCTTGGCATGTGGAATTTGGGACCTTTCAGTTTGGCATTTGGTCCCTTAATGTCAAGGTCTGCTCCTTCAATATCTACATCTGGAGTTTTCACATCAATATCTGCCTTGGGGAGGTTGATGTCAACATCTGGACCTTCTAGCTTGGGGCCTTTCAAGCCAAATGATGGCATCTTGAATTTAGGCATTTTCAGTCCACCTTTGGGACCCTCAATGCCAATGTCTGGGCATTCTATGTCCACCTCTGGGCCTTTGCGATCTTCTTTAATCTTTGGTATTTTAACATCCACATCCCCTTCAACCTTAGGACCTTTCAGATTTATGTCAACATCTGGCATATCCACTTTTGGACCTTTTAAATTTAGTGAAGGCATTTTTATTTTAGGCATTTCAAATCCTCCCTTTGGTCCTTCAATGTCAACTTCTGGTCCTTTGATGTCCATTTCAGGGGATTTAATATCTCCTTTGATCTTTGGACCTGAAACATCCATGTCACCTTTGAGTTTGGGGCCTTTCAAGTTGAAATCCACATCTGGCATGGATACTTTTGGTCCAGATATGCTTGGCATGTGGAATTTGGGACCTTTAAGTTTGGCATTTGGTCCCTTAATGTCAAGGTCTGCTCCTTCTATATCTACATCTGGTGCTTTCACATCAATATCTGCCTTGGGGAGGTTGATGTCAACATCTGCACCTTCTAGCTTGGGGCCTTTCAAACCAAATGAGGGCATCTTGAATTTAGGCATTTTCAGTCCACCTTTGGGACCCTCAATGTCAATGTCTGGGCATTCAATGTCCACCTCTGGGTCTTTGAGATCTCCTTTAATCTTTGGCATTTTAACATCCACATCCCCTTCAACCTTAGGACCTTTCAAATGTATGTCAACATCTGGCATATCCACGTTTGGACCTTTCAAATTGAGTGATGGCATTTTTATTTTAGGCATTTCAAATCCTCCCTTTGGTCCTTCAATATCAACATTTGGACCTTTGATGTCTATTTCAGGTGTTTTGATATCTCCTTTGATCTTTGGACCTGAAACATCCATGTCACCTTTGAGTTTCTGGCCTTTCAAGTTCAAATCCACATCTGGCATGGATAGTTTTGGTCCAGATATGCTTGGCATGTGGAATTTGGGACCTTTCAGTTTGGCATTTGGTCCCTTAATGTCAAGGTCTGCTCCTTCAATATCTACATCTGGTGTTTTCACATCAATATCTGCCTTGGGGAGGTTGATGTCAACATCTGGACCTTCTAGCTTGGGGCCTTTCAAACCAAATGATGGCATCTTGAATTTAGGCATTTTCAGTCCACCTTTGGGACCCTCAATTCCAATGTCTGGGCATTCAATGTCCACCTCTGGGCCTTTGAGATCTCCTTTAATCTTTGGCATTTTAACATCCACATCCCCTTCAACCTTAGGACCTTTCATATTTATGTCAACATCTGGCATATCCACTTTTGGACCTTTTAAATTTAGTGAAGGCATTTTTATTTTAGGCATTTCAGTTCCTCCCTTTGATCCTTCAATATCAACATTTGGAACTTTGATGTCTATATCAGGTGTTTTGATGTCTCCTTTGATCTTTGGACCTGAAACATCCATGTCACCTTTGAGTTTGGGGCCTTTCAAGTTGAAATCCACATCTGGCATGGATAGTTTTGGTCCAGATATGCTTGGCATGTTTAATTTGGGACCTTTCAGTTTTGCATTTGGTCCCTTAATGTCAAGGTCTGCTCCTTCAATATCAACATCTGGTGTTTTCACATCAATATCTGCCTTGGGGAGGTTCATGTCAACATCTGGACCTTCTAGCTTGGGGCCTTTCAAACCAAATGAGGGCATCTTGAATTTAGGCATTTTCAGTCCACCTTTGGGACCCTCAATGTCAACATCAGGGCATTCTATGTCCACTTCTGGGCCTTTCAGATCTCCTTTAATCTTTGGCATTTTAACATCCACATCCCCTTCAACCTTAGGACCTTTCAGATTTATGTCAACATCTGGCATATCCACTTTTGGACCTTTCAAATTCAGTGAAGGCTTTTTTATTTTAGGCATTTCAAATCCTCCTTTTGGTCCTGCAATATCAACTTCTGGACCTTTGATGTCTATTTCAGGTGTTTTGATATCTCCTTTGATCTTTGGACCTGAAACATCCATGTCACCTTTGAGTTTTGGGCCTTTCAAGTTGAAATCCACATCTGGCATGGATAGTTTCGGTCCAGATATGCTTGGCATGTTTAATTTGGGACCTTTCAGTTTGGCATTTGGTCCCTTAATGTCAAGGTCTGCTCCTTCAATATCAATATCTAGTGCTTTCACATCAATATCTGCCTTGGGGAGGTTGATGTCAACATCTGGACCTTCTAGCTTGGGGCCTTTCAAACCAAATGAGGGCATCTTGAATTTGGGCATTTTCAGTCCACCTTTGGAACCCTCAATGTCAACATCGGGGCATTCAATGTCCACTTCTGGGCCTTTGAGATCTCCTTTAATCTTTGGCATTTTAACATCCACATCCCCTTCAACCTTAGGACCTTTCAGATTGATGTCAACATCTGGCATATCCACTTTTGGACCTTTTAAATTTAGTGAAGGCATTTTTATTTTAGGCATTTCAAATCCTCCCTTTGGTCCTTCACTATCAACAGTTGGACCTTTGATGTCTATTTCAGGTGTTTTGATATCTCCTTTGATCTTTGGACCTGAAACATCCATGTCACCTTTGAGATTGGGGCCTTTCAAGTTGAAATCCACATCTGGCATGGATACTTTTGGGCCAGATATGCTTGGCATGTGGAATTTGGGACCTTTCAGTTTGGCATTTGGTCCCTTAATGTCAAGGTCTGCTCCTTCAATATCTACATCTGGTGCTTTCACATCAATATCTGCCTTGGGAAGGCTGATGTCAACATCTGGACCTTCTAGTTTGGGGCCTTTCAAACCAAATGAGGGCATCTTGAATTTAGGCATTTTCAGTCCACCTTTGGGACCCTCAATGTCAATGTCTGGGCATTCAATGTCCACCTCTGGGCCTTTGAGATCTCCTTTAATCTTTGGCATTTTAACATCCACATCCCCTTCAACCTTAGGACCTTTCAGATTTATGTCAACATCTGGCATATCCACTTTTGGACCTTTCAAATTCAGTGAAGGCATTTTTATTTTAGGCATTTCAAATCCTCCTTTTGGTCCTGCAATATCAACTTCTGGACCTTTGATGTCTATTTCAGGTGTTTTGATATCTCCTTTGATCTTTGGACCTGAAACATCCATGTCACCTTTGAGTTTGGGGCTTTTCAAGTTGAAATCCACATCTGGCATGGATAGTTTCGGTCCAGATATGCTTGGCATGTTTAATTTGGGACCTTTCAGTTTGGCATTTGGTCCCTTAATGTCAAGGTCTGCTCCTTCGATATCAACATCTGGTGCTTTCACATCAATATCTGCCTTGGGGAGGTTGATGTCAACATCTGGACCTTCTAGCTTGGGGCCTTTCAAACCAAATGAGGGCATCTTGAATTTAGGCATTTTCAGTCCACCTTTGGAACCATCAAAGTCAACATCTGGGCCTCCAATGTCCACCTCTGGTCCTTTGAGATCTCCTTTATTCTTTGGCATTTTAACATCCACATCTCCTTCAACCTTAGGACCTTTCAGATTTATGTCAACATCTGGCATATCCACTTTTGGACCTTTTAAATTTATTGAAGGCATTTTTATTTTAGACACTTCAAATCCTCCCTTTGGTCCTTCAATGTCAACATCTGGACCTTTCATGTCTATTTCAGGTTTTTTGATGTCTCCTTTGATCTTTGGACCTGAAACATCCATGTCACCTTTGAGTTTGGGGCCTTTCAAGTTGAAATCCACATCTGGCATGGATACTTTTGGTCCAGATATGCTTGGCATGTTTAATTTGGGACCTTTCAGTTTGGCATTTGGTCCCTTAATGTCAAGGTCTGCTCCTTCAATATCAACATCTGGTGCTTTCACATCAATATCTGCCTTGGGGAGGTTGATGTCAACATCGGACCTTCTAGCTTGGGGCCTTTCAAACCAAATGAGGGCATCTTGAATTTAGGCATTTTCAGTCCACCTTTGGAACCATCAAAGTCAACATCTGGGCCTTCAATGTCCACCTCTGGGCCTTTGAGATCTCCTTTAATCTTTGGCATTTTAACATCCACATCCCCTTCAACGTTAGGACCTTTTAGATTTATGTCAACATCTGGAACATCACCCTTTGAACCTTTCAAATTCAGTGAAGGCATTTTTATTTTAGGCATTTCAAATCCTCCCTTTGTTCCTTTAATATCAACTTCTTGACCTTTGATGTCTATATCAGGTGTTTTGATGTCTTCTTTGAACTTTGGACCTGAAACATCCATGTCACCTTTGAGTTTTGGGCCTTTCAAGTTGACATCCACATCTGGCATGGATACTTTTGTTCCAGATAAGCTAGGTTTGTTGAATTTTAATCCTTTTAGATTTGCATCTGGTCCTTCAATGTCAAGGTCTGCTCCCTCAATTTCAACACCCAGTGCTTTCATATCAATATCTGTCTTGGGGAGGTTGATGTCAACATCTGGACCTTCTAATTTGCGGCCTTTTAAACCAAATGAGGACATCTTGAATTTAGGCATTTTCAGTCCACCTTTGGGACCCTCAATGTCAATGTCTGGGCATTCAATGTCCATCTCTGGGCCTTTGAGATCTCCTTTAATCTTTGGCATTTTAACATCCACATCCCCTTCAACCTTAGGACCTTTCAGATTTATGTCAATATCTGGCATATCCACTTTTGGACCTTTCAAATTCAGTGAAGGCATTTTTATTTTAGGCATTTCACATCCCCCCTTTGTTCCTTCTTTATCAACTTGTGGACCTTTGATGTCAATTTCAGGTGATTTAATATGTCTTTTAATTTTCTGACTGGAAACATCAGTGTCACCTTTGAACTCTGGGCCTTTCAAGTTGAAATCCACATCTGACATGGATTTTTCTTGTCCAGATATTCTAGGCATGTTAAATTTGAACCCTTTCAGATTTTCAGCTGGTCCCTTAATATCAACATCAGGTGCTTTCACATCAGTGTCTGTTTTAGGAAGGTCAATGTCAGCAACTTTGAAATTTACTGTTGTCATTTTCATTTTAGACGTGCCAATTTCTCCCTTTGTTCCTTCAACTTCAACAACTGGTGCCTTAATGTCAATTTTAGGTGATTTGATATCTGTTTTTATCTTTGGGTGCGAAACATCCATGTCAGCTTTGACTTTTGGGCCTTTCAGGTTGATATCTACATCTGGTATGGACATTTTTGTTCCAGATTTGCTGTGTAATGTTAGGACTGGTGCTTCCACTTCTGTATATTTTGCGTCTTTTCTTCCGGCTTCTTCTGTCCTTACACTTTCTACATCCTTATTACCTTTGATTGTTGAACCTTTCAAGTTCAGATTCATCTCAGGCATTCTTTCATCAACTCCTACCTTTGAATCTGACATGTTTGCTTTGCCTTTACTTGAGTTTATCTCTGTTATGTTTTGTGTTTTGTAATGAAAGCCATCATTATCCTTTACCTGAGATTTATCAATGCCTGTATCCATTTTTTGATATTTCATGGCTTCTTCTGAGCTTCCATGACTAGTGGTCTTTAATGATGATGTGTTTATATGTGGTAATTTTAAATCACCTTCTTTTCTTTCAGTGTTTATGTCAGGACATCTAAACTCTACTTTTGTTGCTGTTGGAACTCCCTCATCTTTTTCCCCACTTTTTGGCTTTGCACTTGGAAAACTAGTTTGCATACTTTTCAACGAATGTCTGTCTGGGTGTGAAGAATAAGCAGTGTCGGAATTAGTTTCTGTAACAAGTGATATCGTTCCAGAATCAGCAGAATTTCCAACTGTTTTAACATCAAAATAACTTGATCCCTTGTTTAGGTGGAGGGATGTGTCTCCAGATGTTCTCTGGATCTTAATGTCTTCTTGTGGCAGAGACAGACTAGCTGATTTCTTGTTTTCATCATTTGTGGATAATTCTGCATCTGCTGACCCTCCTACTGTAACAACCTTTACAAAAGTGCTTTTACTTTCACCGGACATAGTCTGTTTTTCAGACTCATCTATTCCTCCAGCGTTCTGTTCTTCACTTTCTCTTAAAATTTTAGTGCCCTCGTGACCTATAGCTCCAAACCTAGGTTCTTTAAATCTGAGGTCCGTACTTAGTTCTGTTCCCTCTCTTATAATTGTCTTTGACTGATCTCCACTTGTATGTGTTTCTGTTGAGCTACCTTTTACACCAGTATAGGTGACATTGCATGACTCAAAAACACCCTCTTCTCCCACTCCTTTCACTGTAGGACTGCCATGCAATATTCTGACACGAGGAGAGCCATCTCCAGATTCATGCCATTGTCCCTTGAAGTCTGGGCTTGAAAGTTCTAGTTTCTCACCTATCCCACTTGGCATATCCACTGTGTAAGTAGTGATGCGGCGAGTGATGGTTGTAATAGTACTGCCATCACTGCTAGTACTGCTGTGTCGCTCTGTACGAACATCCACTCCTTCTGCAAGATCTTCAGACTTCAGCCTTGGTTTAATCTTCTTTGTGTATATTCTCTTGTAGTCCTCATCATCTCCACTCTGTATCAACATACATCATGTTTGTTAAAATATTAAGTTGTATTACAAACTGTGTAATGTATATTTTATCCATTTGATAATCGTAGTATTTCTAAGCAAATTCAAACTTTTGGTTTTAGATAACTTACGAGAATGATTTCTGGACTTGATGCTCCAAACTGCGATTTCCCTTCCCATGTGAGGGTGCCCATTGGAGAACGACATGGTGTGCTCAAGGGTGAGTAGCATGGGGATTTGTCTCCTTTGTTTTGTAGTTTCAGTCCAACTTTGTGTTTGTTCAATGTTTTCAGTAACTCTGCTGTCTCTTCGGAGCTCATATTTTCAAAGTAGATAGTTGCACCCACAATCTGATCGCCTGCAAATTGAGTATAGATATTTGTTATGAATTAATCTTATAAACAAAATAGATGGTGAAAAAAGATCTCATATTTTACTAAAGACATCAAATATAGTGTACTACCTTCATATACTTTTCCAGATCGTGCTGCTGGTGACTCTCCTTTTACCTCCTTGACGAGGAGCTCCCCTCCACTTGTGTGTTCGATGGTCAAGCCAGTTTTGTCTGGGCCCTCCCAGTCTTGAAAGAGCACTTCCCTGGTGTCCTCTTCGTCAGCCATCTATAAAAGTAAACATTTTGTAAAAAAAAAAGTGGGGCAAAATGCATTTGGTTGCAACATTTGATAACTAACTTCCTGTGGAATACAGTTTTACATATTGCAGGTGAAATTTCCAAAATGGACAGAAATTATCTTTATAATAATAGCAAGTGTTCCACAGTGCATACTGAAGTTTTAGAATGTTTACATAAAAAGTATACAAAAATACATTTTTTGATTACGTTTTCAGGAACAAAGAAAGCCTGAAATGTAATTTTTCAGATTTTCTGTGTTCCTCTAGCTTTTACAAGCTAAGTTTTATTTTTAATAAATTTGGATTTGGAAGTATAGATTTAGAGTTTAGCTGCAAGAAAATAAATCACATTCTCTTGGGGGTTGTGGTGATATGTGATGCTGATGACTGAAAATGGTGGTAGGCTAAAAGGCTGTACATGGTTGAGGCAAACTGTTGAAAACTATTCTCATTATTGCAGCTGTGTGACAAAAATCACGTCATTTTGTTCTCAGCCTCATGTTGTCCGCCCTTTCTTGTCACAACTGCCCTAACTAACTCCTGAAAGTGCATACTGAAGCATTAAATGTCCCGTGCTCGGTTCTGGTCCAACGTAGTGGGCGAACAGCTGTTCTTTTTTCTAACATGGAAAGTAAAATGAGATTTTCCAGCTTATCAATCATTATTTCCTCCTCTGAATTTTTGTCAGAGTCGATCCTCTCTCCCATGACTGCTGTTGATACAGTACCTTTGTAAACCAGACACATGGAAAAACACTATAATGTTACTGCAGCAGTTAATGAAAATCCATACTGAATTTGTAAGTTAACGAGTAATTTTCCGTCTTTGATGCGGCTTCTTTAAACGATGATGGAAATCTGATGGCCATCCATTATTTGACAGATTACACACCTAAGCACTTGGTGCAGCTGCACAGACAGTTTCAGACAGAATATTGTAGTCATTAACTCAATCAATAGGCTCTACACTAAATTTACATCAAAGTATCATGTCTGATCTTGACTTTTTCTGAGAACTGACGGTGGCACATTGAAGAGTTCTTGACAAGAGGCTTCATTGACATGCAATGCTGGTAAGGCAGTGACGTGACTTAATCAAAATCAGATAAATGAATGAAGACCACATACATGTTTACATAAGGAAATTTCACGCATTCGGACAACGCTGGAGGGCAAAAAGACAATTCTTTTATATGCCATCCATAGCCATGCTGCTTTGAGTTAATGGAATAATAATTCCATTAATAATAATTCCATTAACTCAATGAAACTTGGAAATTTAAGTATTATTAATACTATGCTACTATGCTAATATGCTCCACAGCAAAAGGGAAAAACCGTTGAAGTACAACTCAAAACCACGTCTTTCTCGCTCTCTGCATTGGCCGGGCCACACACACACACACACGCATACACACGCACACACACACACAGACACACAGACTCGTTGCCATAGCAACTGACAACAACGCCTCTTAAACACACTGAAATATTTCCCACACAAAGCAGAACATTCAGTCTGTTGCAGTAGTTTGGTTTTAGGCTCAGTGTTTATTTTGCGATTATTAATAAGTGACTGCTGTCATGTTTATTATGGTGTCATGACAGTCTTATTCACAACCCATCATATAAACTGTTACCGAACTAATTAACTGGAAATAAATACAAAAACAGTTGATAATAATCAAATAACTGTAAAATTTCAAGCTGACATTTTAGGCTGTGACTACACACTTTTTTTTTGTTTTTCAAAATTGCCTTTAAAATAATTGCAAAGCATGTTACCTTGATTTTGTTTTCCTCTAAACCAGTCCTAGTGGGAGGAAAATGTTGTTGTTGTTGTTGTTTTCCTATATAACAAATACAAAAACAAAACAAAAGCACAATAAATAATTAAAACAATTTCTCTATGAAAATAACTCATCATGACTGAAGATAATAATATATAAGACCCATGTATGAACACTAGATGGTGATAAAACTCAATTGACAACATAGCTTCCACTACCTCCAAAAACCATATTGGCAACTCCCTCTTTTTAGAATGGTGTTAGGGTATGTTTTGTAAATGTCTCAGACCACACCCTGCCCTGAGGAAAGCAAGCAAATCCTGTGCCTACACACTAGCTTCAAAGTCAGTAGAAGGAACAATGATGGTATCTAGCTTTATGAAAACATATGCTGCAGAAAGCTGAACAAAAAACACATACATTTTTATGTTGCAAGCTATTATTAAAAGTAAATGTTCACACTGACAAACAACAAAGTGGAAAACTACTATAAATTCAAAAGTACTGTACATCGAAAATTGTCTCAGTCTCTTTACTAAGAGTTTCTTTACAAAGACTGCCTTCCAGTCTTTCAGTAAACATCAGCTTACACTGTTCTCTGTATTTCTGTCTTAACACCCAATTTGTGTTTCCTAAACCCAAGGTCATTCAAGAAAATGGCAGGATATTTAGAGAGATGTGTTTCTTTTCAAGTAAACTGAGTAACGCTCCGCCTTTTTAATCTGTCACACGAGGGGAGATTCTGAAGATGAAACCACTACACAGCTAAAGTAAGATCATACATTTCCCAAAAACATCTTCCACATCTGAACATTCTTACGAAAATATTTGTTATGTTGATGAGACAAAAGTGGAACTTCTTGCAATGGGTGCATCCTTTGACATCTGGTGTATCACTAACAATATTTCAGTCCTGTAGGATTTTAACAGCAAGTCGTATCTGTTAAGCCATGAATTGTACTATCTTCTAAAATATCCCAAAGGAGCTTGTGTGGTGATTAGAAACACACCAGTAAGTCTATTTCTGATTTAAGGTCTTTGAAGTGACCTCGCCAAATTCTGGACTTATACCTTTTGGGTCCTATCCCATGACTCTAAACAGCTCTGTCGCTTTAGAAAACATCCCAGTACTGAAAGAAGAGTTATTTCACAGCAATGCAAAAGACTCATTGCCAGTTATCAAAAATTCATAATAAAAGTTATTGCTGCCAAGGATAACTATCAGTTATTATATATCAGGCATAACTACATTTTTACATAAAGTCAGTTTAGATTGGATTGCTTTTTCATTTCCGAAGTTCATTTATCAAATGAAAACAGCATTTCGACCTGTAATGTAATCTTTATCTGATATTAAATACTTTTATAATCTTAAAGATTATAGGCTTATGAGAAATATATGATAATGAAATCTAATGTGTAACCTTGGTTATCTAGCTGTCCAAGGGTAAAGACACAACGTAACAAGTCAATAAATAGACTGGTTTTGTGTAATTGGGGACACAGGGGGACATGTGCAATGCTTTGAGGTAATATTAAACCCTGTTAACCTCTGTATCTGGAATAGCTTTTTCCCAATACTTTATAGACTGCACAACACACTGAGCATTATAACTTAGTGAAGAGTGGGAGAGTTCATGGCAAAGATCCGGACAACCGAATGTAGGTAACTAAAAGTAAAACGTTTCTTTCCTCTTCATATTTTTATCTCACAATGTTTCTGTGTGACCCATTTAAAGCTTGAAAGACAAATCAGTGAAGACCTCAAACTATAACTTAGTAAGCATGAATTTATCTGTCTGTCGAATGACTACAAAGAGAAGCAACATCGCCTTATATACAATTTTAGCGAATTAATTTTAGTGAAGCATACCTGCTTAAAATGAATGTACCAATTTGTTTCCTTCAAAATAAACCCAAAATGCAAAGGAGCAAGTGGAGTTTAGTCCCCTTCTATTTTTCTTTCATTAATAACCAAACACAGCCTCAGGTATCCTTCCTTTGCCCACCTTTAGTATAGGTTTAAAAATTTCATCAAATGGTTTGAAAATGACAATAAGCAATAAAATTGATGCAGCAAAATCAGATGATTAGTTCTAGCCTGTGCAGCAAACAGCTGCTGAATAACTATGGCTTTGTTCTCAAAATCATAAGACAAGCCTTGAGTGGATGACTCAAACAACTCAGACAACATGACAATCAACTTTACTTTCTCTACTTATGAATAGATATGTGTTTTTCAATTTGTAACTTTGAAGTAAACCATGAAGGATCTGAAAATAAGGACAGAGGGACTCAGACAAGCTTGTCTGTCATGTTTTATTACAGTCTGGTATGTGTGTTGGGAAAAGGGGGCGTGGAGAACACGGCAGACTAAAGCCGCTCATAATAAAGCAAACCACAAAACATTTCTGGGTGTCCATGCCTTTCTGCTGACCCACAAGATGTTGCGGATATTTTGATTTAGATTTTTTTTTCCTACCAAGTAAACAGCACAAGCTTGGCAGGCTTTTGAGTGAAGTGTTTCATAAGAAGGCTTAGAGTAGAACAGGTGGTCTCTTGCAGAGGAGCCAAATGTCAGGCTGCAAGATTCTGCACAGCTGAACAGAGCGGGCATGACCAGTAAGGTTCAAATGCAGCCTTGCAACTGATATTCCAGAAGCAGTTTTGAGTCCAGTCACATGACGTATTGTTGGAGTGGTGTAATGTCCAATATGTAAGTTAGCTGTCTTTATTGTGTGGTGTGTGAGGACACTTACCTTGGATTGCTCAAGCTAATCCAAGAGCTTCACTCTGCTTCTTGTGTTCTTCTTTTTTGACTTCTGTTGAGAGGAACACAAACACAGAATTGGGATTTAATATGTAATTTGTGAATATACTTCTAGATAATGTTAAGACCACAGAGAAAAAAACATCAGTTTTTTTACACAGTGAGATGCCTTTGTTCAGTTAAACTGTTAAAAATTGTCAGTCTACCAAGATATGTCTCGATAACAGACACAAATGTTTAAGTTCATTCTTAATTATTCATTAGTGAATTATTCATACTAAATGAATCTGATGCTTCATCTCCAATCAGACTCTAAAGACTTTCATACTTCACCAATCAGAGACAGCAATGTTTACCCATATAAGTAATTGTGCAAGACTGTCTATAAGTAAATAAATCTAATTATCTGCATGGTCTGGCCTTCAAGGGGAAACAAATAGATAGGTTTCTACCCTTTCCGCCTAATAACTAAGGTAAAGTTTGAAACTAAACTTAACATTTTCAGTTCTGTTCTTTCTCTTGGGTTGTGACTACGAAATAGAAAACCACCAAAGGTCTGTCACAGACTGCATGCTAGGGAAAAAAAGCAATTGTTGTAGGAGTTGCATTTATCATTCGGATCCTGATCTTCCGTAAGCAGGCCTGGTCTGTCTTACTTCTACCCGCTGCAACTGGCCTGACTTTTTAAAGGTCTTGTGTGGATTATTGTGTCAAGCTAGTGGCATATTGTGAAACAAAGCCTCCATTTTGTCAGTCAGAGAACAAACAGAACCAGACTTGATGTGAGTGTAGAAAGGCATCTACCAGTGGGAACATGTCGATCAGGATAAATAGCTCCCTAGCCCTCTCATTAACTTTCTCCTGCACAACACCCTATTTTTAATATGCACTAAAGTCTCCATTACTTTGATGCTAAATAACAGGGTTTATCAGATAGAAGCATTTTCTCAGTAGTCTGTGTATTACTTGTGTGTGTAATATACAGCAATAAAGATAAGGAAAGTAAAAGTGTTGTTTAAAATTAAGATTACATATATAGTTTTTTTTCTTGTTTGTTTTTGAACGTGACTCATATTGGAATAGCTGAGTTCAACACATAGAGTTCTCAATTGTTTGTGTTGGGAGACTGGCAGCACGGCAGCTGTGTATACTTTACAGTCTATCCTCTTGCTACTGCTGGGGATTTATCAGACTGGCCTGACAGAAGTCATTCAGGTACGTCCTGACTGAAATTTTTGAATGGTCATAGAAGCAATCCGACACGTACGATGAGACAGAAGCAAGCTGGATAACTAAGATACAAAGAGGTTGCCACACCTTCTTACCCTTGGTAGCACTCTAGACATAACTACTGGTGTGGCCTTCAGTAGTGAGAATAGTCTCATGAATACTAATGCAACTACACATACAAATAATACATTATACATGTGGGACGAAGAACAGGTTGCTTTGCCTATACGTCTTGCTTATGGAGTGAGATACTCACTGTGCAACCCCACCCAGGCCTCCAGTCACACACATTCCTTGATAGAGCTGTCAGGCCAACTGGAAGGGAGCCCGGCCTCTCCCTACAGTGACTAACTACACAGAAATGTCCCTCTTTCTCTCTCACACTGATTCCCGCCCCATACCCTACTCAGATGCTCACACTCCTGCAAGTCAGCCCTCTATATCCCCTAAAACTCTAGGTTATGCGCTGATGAACAAGAGCCCTACATCCATCCAAATATGTGAGCGCAATGGCAAGGCAAAGCATACCATTTTTTTTAAACTGAACTTGTTTCTCAGATTCGATGGTTATCATTTCACTTAAATCTTTGCCCACCTGGTTGACGCCGTGAAAATCTTTTAGATGCTTTGAATTTCATTTGTGCCAGTTTTCTCAACTCCTGCGGTTACATATCAGTTCTGCCATCATAATTTCCCCGTAAGTAGGTCACAATGTGATGGAAACATATGAAGAGAGTTGAAGTTATTTCACCCTTTTGATTGCCAAATCTAATCAATTTGGTGTGCAGAGAAGGGAAGCAGTGTGACAATGATTACATCTCACTGCTTAGTATATCAAGAAGTGATGCTGGGCAAAGATAAGATTTGATTATGAGCAAGTAGAAAAAGATCTCTGTGCAGTGAGGCAAAAAGAGGACAAGGAGAAGTGAGCAAATCAGTCTTGTTGTCAAAACAGAATAGGCTCCCTGTTTCCCCTTGCCGCGTTGGAGTTTGACGCAGCACGAAAAGCAAACACAAAGAGAGGCAAGGCAGGGCTCAGCCTCTGGTTATTCCTCAAAGAAGCAGATAGCCCGTGCATGTATGACACACATAAAAGAAACGAGCATCGAACTAAATTGTTCCTTTCTCTTCTCTGTCTTCACATACCCCTGAAGGAAACCACAAGTCCTGAATACGACCAGAGCCTGTCTGCTGACGCCAGCTCGGTCGGCTGCTGATTAAACCATTGGGACTTTGGCAGGAATCCGACAACAAATGGAAAAACTGAGAAGTTCTTCCCCTTCTTTTACAAGATCACAAACAAGACCGACCACCTAGTAATGCAAACTGCAACTCTGCCTTCACCACCATTCAAACTTCATGACACATGGAAAACTTTGACTTATATGTCTTAAAATGGTAAAGGACAGTTCATGGCTCCTTCTTAAAACTTTGTTCTGTGTCCCACCAGCAGACAACAAAGAGGGGAGGATCTCGCTTTGAATTTCCTCTCACCAAGGTTTCCAACTTTTTCCATATGTGCAAAGAGTTTTCAGGAAGTTTTCCCTGTCCTTTCAAAGAAAAGCATCAAAATCAGTTGTGCACACAAGACTGGGAATACCACACTCTGAAAGTCAACAAGTTTTTTGTTGCATCCAAAAAATAAAAAATACAGAGTGGAATTGAAGAAAATGAAGCTGTGCCGTTATTTTATAGAATTTCTCTTTAGTTGTTATTTTCTAAAATGAGAAGTGACGCAGGGCTGAAGCCAGCACACTGTTTCAGAGCCAAGAACATTGAGCAACAAACGAAAGCATAAATAATAAAAAAGCATAGACCTATTTCCTTAAAGTGGAGACATATATATATATATATATATATATATATATATATAGAGAGAGAGAGAGAGAGAGAGAGAGAGAGAGAGAGAGAGAGAGAGCCATGATGAAAAATTTTAACTGACTTTAAACACTGTTTAGAAGAAAATAAATTTTAAAACAATCATACAGATATTGTTTAAAAAAATCTATCTATTTCATCACATGCTGTTTTTCAGCTTCAAGGCAGTTTGTCAAATTGTTTAATTTGCTACAGCTGATGTTTACAGTAAAAGTAATCTAAAGCCGTTTACAGTAGAGGGGACAAGGCAATTACAAAAAAAGCTAGGTGGCAGCAGAATGTATATATTTATAGACACAATTCTGTAGCTACGTTCCTTAGCTATAGAATTTACATCATGACTGGAGCCAACAACGTGCATTTGTATATAAAGTGCAGAAGTGAGATTTGTTGGAGCATTTTAGACAGCAAGCCATGCCATCCTTGACTATCATCCGCCAGATAAGAAAAACTTAAACAACAAATGCTTTCCCAACGTTGCATTCCGGGCACTGCTCCCTGAAATTCTGGGCCCCAACCTCTCCCTGCTAAAAGATTGGCTAACAGATGCAGCGTGTTACTCCTTGCATGGGGAAACATGACAGGTTTTAACAGTAAGCAGCAAGGTGAGATTGTACAGTGAAGCAACAGTTGTAGAAGATTTATTGTTCTGGGTGGTTCTGTGAAGCAGATGTTTGGATAAACGGCAGTGTAAGTTATTAGCTTCTGAGGGCTTAAAAAAAAAGGAAAGCATTCACACCCTTTTTGAATATTCTGTGCTTGCAAAAGTTCAGCCAAATGAAAAGCTACAATAAACAAATCTGAATCGAATCCACATGCATGGGTGGGACTTTTCTGGCGAGATCATCATAACTCTCAAAACACTATTTTTCAGCAATAGAGCATGCAAGAGTAATGATAAAAGCTCCTCGGAGAGTTTTGAGTGCACGGTGAAACAAACCAGCGCTGGATGGGTGAAAAGGGAGTGGCTGCTGTGTGGATTGCCTAAAAAACTTTCTAAAAGCGTACTATACTCTTATGTGTGTTATTTGCAGCTGTTCTCTTAAGGTTTTGTTAACAGAACAAAACCTTAACAAGCCTCAAAAGTGGATTCTGCTGGAGCTTTGTAGATCTAACAGAAAGACAGTTTAGAAACAAAAAGTCTATAGATTATTCTTTCATCTTTTTCAGAACATTCACCACCCAGTTGCATGGTCAACTCATAGTGACTTCTTGCAGCCACCCATTTAACAAAATATCAAGGAAATGGCAAAGGAAGTATACTGAAGACCAGTTTCCTTTAATTTCACACTGAAGAGTATTAAAAACAGCACTGCTCTCGTTCCTGCTGTCAATCAGCAGCACCCAAAGAGTGTGTGCAGCTGTATCTTATGTGGTGTGTAGACCAATATCTTGACATAAGTCAAGGTTCCCAGCAGTCATGAGACGTGGCTCACTATTTTTTTCCATGCAGATGTCACATTAAACCAACTCAGCATTAGAAAGGCAGACAGCGCATGTGAAGACAAACAGTACCCACCCAAGGCCACGATGAGGCCCTTTTAACTGACAAGCATTTCAGCATCTAACAGCTGGAAACAAAACATATTACGACCTGATAAGCGAATTATGATGTTAATTTAAAGTTCCCATCTTCACCAATCTGATCATTTTGTATTGAATTAAAAGGCCCTCAAACAACGCAACGCCAAAAAAATACCTTTTAGCTCAATGTGACAATTTGGCTCTGTAAACAGTGTATGTTACAATCAGTCAACTTGACAAGAGCAATTAAAAACATGCCAGACAGCAACTGCTGCAGGGTACTAAACGTTGGTTCGACGTACATGGTAGGAAACACTGTACAGGGTGGTGCGAAAAGCAGCTCAGAGTTTTGGGTGTGGCAGGAGGGAGTTGCGGAGGACAGGCGACTCCATTGCCAAATCTAACTTCTCACTAAGGTTCAGCAAAAATTTTTTATTTTTTTCTGTCCTTTTTTCACAACTCAAACAGTTTCATTATAAGCATGATTAAAACATTAAGTGGCTTATATTTTGAAAAGCACAAAATATAAGGTTATAACACAATAATGTTTGAAAACTTCCGTCAGTTTTTGGATTTTTGTGAAGAAAATGAAACGTTTTTCCTCATTCTTCCAACGTGCTAAGCCTTTGCTCCCCCTTTCTATGCCTCAAACCTGGTTTCAATTAGCCTGTCTTTCCAAACCACTACATTCCATAACTCCCCTCCTCACCCCAGAACCGCCCATCCCCCTCTCACCAACACACTTACTGACTCTCTTTCCCTGTCTTCCTACCATCTTTTCCCCCCACGTACCCTGGCATGGAGCCCAGGTTAAGTAACCCAAGGTATGGGGAAAATAAGGAGAAATCCTCCTCTGTCCAAGACTTACAAACGAGTAAGTCATAAAAGATTTACATCCATCACGACTGCAGGGGTTTAATGTTTCTACCATATGAAATAAAGTACATATTTGGTCAAGAAAAGAAAAAAAAAACTCTGCACAGATGTTCAACATTTTATAAAAAAAAACAAAACATTTTGAACTGAAAGCTTACATAAAATACCAACAAAGAAAAGTTAACATTCAACATGTGTGCCCTTCACTATCCAGTCAGGATGTTTAAAGACCTCGACTGTGACAACTGTCTATGGTGTGTATGGGTTCCTTTTTTTTCTGGCTGTAAAAGGGTGTGCCTGTCTGAGGAGACAGCAAAGCAAGAAGAGAGGGAAGAAAAAAAGAAGCAGGAGAAGGGAGGTGAAGGAGAGAGATCCACACCCAAACTTGTTGCTGGAGGCTATAACAGGGAAGTACCTTCACTTACTTTCTAACAAAAGGTGAAGGATAAATTGGAGAAAGCCATCAATCATAACATAAACACAACCTGATTTCTTTTATCCAGCCGCTGCCACGTCATACCATCCACAAATTACTCAGGATACAGAATGGCATGAATGCAAAGAGGCATCCAATTATCAAACCACTACAGAAAAACTGTGATTGTGTAAGATCCCTATTTTTATTTCTCAAGTCACTTAAATCACTTTTGAAAAAGTTTCTTAAACACTTTCATGCCTGCTCAACTTCTTCTGTTAGGGGAAAATAAAGTGCGCCACTGCAGTTAAACCCTCAGCATTCATGTGGCTGTGGGTACACACCCACTTCTCATGCCATGCTTTGCTTTAAATGAGGTTTTGAATGTGCAATGAGATCCACACAGATTGTCACTTTACAGAAGTATTCTGAACATAAAATAATATTCTAAACTTCCCAGAACATTCTATTGGAAAAAGCTCCAACTTTTTTTTTCTTTTGGAAGAAGCAAACAACATCAGAACAGAGAAGCACATGTAATAAAACGGGACACTGTCGTTGTAAACTTACAAACATAGACAGAACAAGTGCCCCTCAATAGTACGATGAAGGAATGCAAACTGATAACACTGATAAGACTGACTCTGCTGCCGAAACTGACTGAACACATAAATCTGATGGGCAGATAAGCATGGAACAAAAAACAGTCTGTCAAATTTCAGCAGTCAAAAACAAACAACTTTACTGTAAAACAGGAAAAAAGAGAGAAAAGGTTCATCTTTACCTGTGCGCAATCGCTGCGCCAAAGAAGCCTCACACCCGCTTGAGCATCCTTGAAAACGTGTCTTCTCCCCTTCACCCCAGCATAAACAGAGCTCTTTTCACACTGTCACAAGTTTGCAGTCTGTCAGAAGTATGTCTCTGTTTTCCTATTTCTCGACCACTTAGACTTCCAGGGCGTTTTCTCCCCCTCCTCTTTCCCTCCCCTCCCTTCTCTGAGTTGATTTAAGCCTCTTGTTTTTTGTTTTTTTTCCTCTCCTCTCTGTGGCTTCTACTGTGGGCTAAGCCGAGTGGTTGGACCAGGAGCTGGGTCGGGCTCCTGGTTTGCACAGGGAGGAGAATACAAGGGAGGAGACCCGTTGGAGGGAGTGGTCCTTTGCGCTGGGACCACCCACTGTTCCACATAGAGGGCTGCAGAGACATATAACAAGAAGACTGAGTTCTGGTTCAGGGGAGAAAAGGTGATTGACAGTATGGAAACTGGTTCAACAACAGTTTTGAAACGGTTCTCAAACATATTTGTGTACATTTTCATTGACATCAATGTACAACTACTGAAATGTGATACTCATGTGTTTAGTATTTGTCTCATGCTGACACAGTGTAACACATCACAATGAGTGCGTCATATGACAGACAATAGCACAACCCTGTTATAACGGCACTGAAATCACTGTCCACAAACTAATACAAGCTTATCATTAACTGAGTGACTCATAAATTAAGTTTTCCTGTACTCAAAAGCAAAACTATTTGTTTACGTAAAAGTTTTTCATTGGAGCAGTGCCACCTAGGATGACTGACTTGCAAAAACTCTACTTTTTATTTCAGTTTGAACTGTTTGAATTGTTAAAACCATAATAAATGCAGGTTTCACATTCCTTTCTTGCAGACGTTTTCTTGCATAAATTGCCCTTTGTAATTGTAGTTAATGTGCCAAAAAATCTTGACTGCAGCATGCCTCTGTAACAGTCACAGTGAAATAGACTGTCAAACATTTTAATGAGGTAGGCGTTCCTCCTCTTCCAGCCTACTGTCATTTGAAATGAGCTTATGGCTCTTTAAAAGCAGTTCTTCTTCAAGCTTTTATGCAAGAGCAGCCAAAGAAAATAACACCAATGTTAAATTAAACGCTTGGAAATTGGTCAAAGCTGCACAGTTTTTCATGTGCTGGAAAAGTAGAGGAAGGCATTATTCGACATTAACAGAGTTGCAGCTCAATGACAACCTCAGCAGAAAAACCTGCCTGAAGTTATATAAGAGTATTTGGACCAGCAGCTGGGGTACATATTAAAATATCTGGTTAAAGAAGTTCAGGAACTAAAACAGAGGAACCCAACCTATTTTTCTGATATTCCCAGTGGCCATGTCATAAGAACTTAAGTGCCCTTTTTTCTAACACCAGCTGTTGTGTTGCTTCATTTAAGCTGATGTCAGAAACATTATTCTATAATACCTAGATTTTTAACTTACTGGAGCTTTCAGAAACTATAGCTTCTCCCACAATTGTTAGGTATCCAGAAAAGGATACCTAACAATTTATTTTTGGACATTTTTCCCCCCAGTTTTTCAGTAATAAAAAAACTGAAAAATAAACTATTAATATCACTCTGGAGATTTCCACTTCTCAACAAGGACAAATTATTATTTGAATTTTTAGTCTCACAGTAAATATAGATGTGTTTTTAATTTTGGGAGAAAGTCCAACAACTGTTGGGTCAGTTGTGTTGTATCAAGTCCATGACTTCAACCCTTTTCATGCTGCCCTCAACTTTATTCCCTGCTTTCCTGACCAAGGAATCACATTTGCTTAACGTACCAGCAAACGCATCTGACTTGGAGTCCATGAAGTACAGTCAACTTCCTCCTATTTGTGGAATTTTTCAAATTATTCGTGGAAAATTATTTGCAGAAAAATTCATAATTTTTTTGTAAATAACTAAAATATTGAATGAAGCTTAGGTGACCTGAAACATTGAGTTGCAATTTACAAGTTATTGGCTGGCGCTTGCAAAGCAGCCAATCCAAGAGGGTCATTTATTTTCTTTGGGAGTGATTGAGTGTACCCCCAGGAGTGGAAATAAGGAAGACTGTGGATGTCACAAAATATCTTAAAACACACAACATAAACATTTCATCAACAGCTCACTGTACTTGAAGGCTTCTATTAAGTTAAATAAAGTGACTTCAGAATTAAAGAACCCATTTTTTATGTCCCTCAAAGATGCTTCTCAACCTGGACTTAACCCCTCAGCAAAGCCACAGGCATGGGCTCCACGTTGCAGTGATGCAGTAATTCTGCTTGGGAAGACTCACAGATTGAAGAACCAGTAATCAGAAGGTTTTATTTGAAAGTGCTTTAGTGCACGGATCCCAGTGGAAGATGTGTATGAGAATTGCCATCAGCTTGAATGGACAGTTTAGGGGATTACGGTCTTTTTCCTCCCTGGGGCCTGACCCTGGTGGTAGAGTGGAGACCAAAAAGAAGGGGAGGCTGAAGAAGCCGGGGAGGACGAGGGTGGAGACGGGGTGGAGGCGGGTCGAAATATGGCTGGGAAGCAGGTTGATCCATGGATGATGAGCCTTGTAGAGTGATTCTTGATCTACGATTGGCTGAGGTGGAGAGAGGACCTGGTGCTGGTGGTCGTAGTAGATCTGTGTAACGTGGCGATTGGATGATGCCGGTAAAGCTGAAGATTCTCCCAGTTTGAATTTACACCTTATCTTAATGTCATGCAAAAGAAATCCCGACCAATTGTTGAGTGCATATACTGTCTGGTACAGTATGTGAAAATATGTTTCAACATTAATTAAAAACAGAACTTTAATACATTCTGTGTAATCGATATTTCTGAAACAAAACGGACTTGTGGGTTTTCAATAATAACACTTCGAATATGTACATGTATAACTTTTAATAGTTACATTTTGTATCTGAATTACTGAAACAAATAATGTTGTTCATGGTGTTCCCATTTTCTGTAGTAGTGTTCTAGTTCCAGTTTTAAAGAGTATGTATGAGAAATAGGCATAATTTATTTCTATTAAAAGTTGCTTTACATGTAAAACTGTAAAACGTGGAATAACATATGAATTGCAAAAAGATTCAGTTCCATCTGGTTCATTGGTATTTTTAGAGGCTCCCAATAATTTTTATGTTTCTAATAACAAATGTGAGATTATGCAACTGCACTAAAGATTAATTTATTCTAAGTTTTTTCACAAGTTCAAGAGATGAGTAGGGGACTGTGTGTTATTTCCCATGTAAATAAGTTTTCCCCAATTTTTATTGAAACATTTACTCCTTATGTTACTGTACGTGTTTCATAGTTTTTATTTAAAATTACTCTGGAAACTTTCCAGCTCAAGTTTTCCCAGCCAGTTAGTTCACTCGAGTATTTATGTACACTTCCAGTTGTGGACAGAAAATTTCATGTTGTTCTTAGATGCAGTCACTCAACTGTTGTGCCAGATAACTGCTTCTGCTAATTTTAGCCATATCTGAAATAACCCTCTCGCCGATCTCCTCTCTACACACTGGTGCTGTACGAGCAAACAGCGTGCAAGAGGCAGGAACAGAGGAAGTTGCCGCGCTGCTTTGTGGTAGGCAAACAGGGTGTGGTACAGACGCTTGGACGTGTGCATGCTCATATTTAAAAGCTACGGCTTTACAACGCTGCATATCAAGACAGCTTGGGGTTTGTTTTGTCCCCCCTCAAAAAAACACTGAGGATCTTCCACAAAAACAAGAGTGTGTATGTGGAAATGGAGCTTCGTTGCTGTATGCGCTTTGTGATAAAAGAGAACAATTCTCAACATGTGTAACATTAGCAGAGCTCAGAGAAGTGTAGTATTTCTCTAGAGTTTGAACTTTAATTGTTTTTAACAAACAGCTCTGAAAGGCAGCAAAAGGAATCAAACAAAAAAAAAGTTATTGCTGGACTCAGGTATCAAGGAGTGTGGACGATGATAGACTTATATCTGCAGTAACTTACGATCATTCTTTAACACAGAAGTTGAGATTTTAATCAATTACTATTTTCCTGACTGTTCTTCTAATGCAAGTGTCTGCTGAGCTCTGAGCGTGTGTGACCCTTTACTGAGATTAGGGCCCGCATCACCTTTGAAGATGGGTTTCACTTTTTTGTTTTCTGAACCAAAACTCCTGTGATGTGTCGGCATGTAAACAGCAGGGCTCTCCTTAAAGCTGTTTTCCGCTCAACAGCTTTTCAACAGTGGCTGTTTATGGTCCCATAATAGCCAGACAGTAAATGTGCCTTAAGGTGCTTGTAAATGCAGTTTTGCTTGACAACAAGTTCCTACACTGATATGAGGACAAATATGATGGGAGCCTTTGTTATTCATTTCCTTATCTGGATTAAATCTGAAGCAGGTTACATGCAAAAGAGAGCTGCTGGAAAACAACTCAAACAAAAGATTAAAGTTCAGGGCAACTTTTATCTTTAAAGTGCCTTACAGAAATTTTTCATATTATAGTTCATTCACAGTTTTTCTTTGGCAACCACAAATTTCAATTTATTTTCGTGTGCTAGACCAAAAAAGTTTTACATAATTGTAAAAAACAATGCGTGGTTGTCACAGTTTTTGAAAATCATACATATTTTGCTTGCATATGTATGCACTCATTTTCATTTACTGAAATTTAGCTGTGAAGATGTGTAAAGCTGGTTCTTGGTTATCAAACATTAAAGGGTTTGAACCTCTCACTGAGACAATTTTCAATCCATCCTCGGGAAATTGGTAGAACATGATCCAGCAGCAAACCTACCTAGACATGACCATCCCTAATTTATCGGACCTGGGAACGAGAGCATTAATCAACAATATGTAACCATGACAGCTATTAGTCAGGTACTTTAGAAATCTAGCGATTGTGGAAAAGTGACAGGAATAAAAACTGGAAGATGTTTGCAGTTTGCTACACACAATTTATTAGGCAAAGCAAAACATAAAAGATGAGACCGAGGTTTAAAATTTTCACCTGAATGCAAAACACAGAACAATTTGCAGAACAATGACACCACAAAAAAAAACATGATGGTGGCAGTATCATGCTGTGGAGACCGAAAAGGGAATTGGAATTAGTTGGAAACTTAATGGACATAAATACATGGCAACAGTGGAAAAATAAGAACATTTTAGGCAGCAACAAACCTGCGAAGCAGAGGTTTACTTTCAAATACCACAGCAACCCTAAATTTAGTGTCAGAGCTATGATAGAAAGATTTAGATCAAAGCTTATTTATATGGCCAGGTGCTATTCTAAGCTGCTGTGATGAACCTGCAGAAAGATCACAACAT